GGTACCTACTGTCCAACCCCAGACATCTCACCCCACACTTTGACTAGGGCCCTTGCTACTAAATAGCCTGAAGCCGAGGCTGGCTCCTTTTGGCTGCCAAGCTGCTCGTGATTAAATCATTCCTGTCCCGCCTTTGGGGGTCTTGTCGTGTTTTCCTCTTTCTCTCTGTTATCGTGGCGGTAACTAGTTATCGTGAGACTCGACTTTTCCACGAGACAACTCGGCGATTTACCTGGCATCCAGAATTATTCTTTTCCGTTCCTGTATGAAACCACGGCGAGCAGATTCGGCCAAAGCTTTATTGGATCGGTCCGAGAGAGCTTTTACCTGACAGCTCCCGTGCTGCACGATCGACTACCTAATCCACCTTTTATTACCCCCCGTTTCTGTGCCTCGGGAGAGGTAGTAAGCACCAAAACAAACCCACGCCCCAAAAAAAGGACGTCGTCATCAAATCTTCACTCTCCTCCCCCCAAAACTATCCTCCTTTTAACAACCCATCAATGCCTGGACGGTTTTGAACACAGGCAAAGAAACACCATCAAGATCCCCCCTCCCTCCCCCCAAAGATGTCTTCGCCGGATGGAGCAAGTGCCACCGGCGGCGGAAGCGGCCGGCCTCGACGCGCCTCGTCGGCCGCAGCCACCGTCGACCCCGTGCTGCGCAACGCCCTGCGCTATACCGTATCGCCGCGCGAGTACGCCGCGCTGCACAAGTACATTATCGCGCGCTCCAAGACGCTGCGGCGCAGCGCGCCCACGCCCGCCGCCGTCGAGAAGAGCCTGGCCCCGACGCCGGGGAGCGCCGCGAGCGACTACAATGCCAAGGCGGTGCGGCACGCGTTGCGCGTGTTTGTGACGTCGTGGGTCGGGATGAAGGGCTACGAGCTCGTTAGCAGGAAGCTTTCCAAAGATGGGTGAGTTGTGGCCAAAAAAAAAAAGCAACACTGTTTTGAGAGAGAAATGCAAAGATGGGGAGGAAACAAATGCTAATCAGGATGAATTACTATATAGCAGCAAACCCGCACAGAAGCAACCGTTTTACAAGTCACCTGCCCTCCGACTCTCCCTCTCTCTGTCGAGCATCCTCTTTCTCTACCGCCTGCTCTTCCGCTTCCTGACGCGCCTCCGCGCCCACCTCCTCGAGCCGTCCGTCGAGCCCTTTCGGCGGCGCAACCCGCGCACCGCCGCGGCCCTCACATCAGCCTACGCGCCCGCCGTCGGCGCCTCCTTTGCCGGCCTGGCCCTCGGCATCTACCCGTCGCCGCCGATGCGCGCCGGCGTCGCGCTCTGGCTGCTCTTCAAGGCCGCCGAGTACGGCTGGGACTTGGCCGAAGGCGAGGGCCGGATCTGGGGCACCACCGCGCAAGGACGCAAGCGCGAGAGGCCGTGGTGGTTTGGCAGCTGGCTGCTGCAGCCGCTCGCGTTTGGCCAGCTGCTGCACGCGGCCGTCTTTGATAACGACTGCTTCCCGCAGAGCTATGGCAAATTTATCTGGGGCAACTCGCCCGTGTATCTGCATGGCCGTCCAGAGGGATACCCGGCGAACCTGGCGTGGCCTAGCAAGGACGACGTGGTAGCTAGTCTGTCCGAGATGGCACGGCTAAACTGGCCGTAAGTTTGCCCCCTTTCTTTTTTTTCCCCCCTCGGTGCTCGTTTCAATGTTGTTGCAGTTGCTAATGTTATCAACAGGGCTTTCATCTCGCCAACCATGTTTCCCAACAAAAAGAACATTCTACCACCTACAGTCACCGCAGTCTCACCTCTGACGTCCCAGGCGCACCCGCTCATCACGTCCCTCTCCTGCGCCGCTCTACATCCCAGCGACCCGTCCTGCACGCGCACCTACCTCACCTTTTGGCTGCAGTCTTTCCCGCCCGTCGCCCGCTTCTTCGTGCTCTTCTACTCTGCCATGACCGTCATCCCCGGCTTCCGCCGCTTCTACCACAACCCCGTCGCGGGCTTGCAGCGCATCCTCTCGCGCTCCGCCCGCATGACCGCCTTTGTCACGGGCTCGCTGTCCACCGCCTGGGCCTCCATCTGCTTCTTCCAGACGTACCTCCCGCGACACTTGCTCGCCACGCAGCGCTTCTTCCTCGGCGGCTTCGCGGCCGGCCTGTGGGCCTGGATCGAGCGCCGCCACGGCCGCATGGCGTTCTTGTACAGCGCCCGCGCGAGCGTAAACTCGCTCTGGAAGGTGGGCGTCAAGCGCCGCTGGTGGCGCGCCGTCAAGGGCGGTGATTTGTGGGTGTTTGTGCTCGCGCTCATGATGACCGGCGTCGTGTATGAGCGCGACGCAAAGGCCATTCAGCAAAACTCGTTCCGCAAGGGCGTCAGCTGGGTCCGCGGCGAGGGATGGCGAGACTGGGCCATTGAGGAGGATGAGGAGGAGGAGGAGGCCAAGGACAAGGACGAGTAAAAGTAGGACTTGTGTGAGGTGCGCACAAACGTGGGGTGATTATACTATATACTATGTACATGCTTCAGTTGAGAGATGGGCAGCGGATTCGGAGTTGAGGGGTGATATTCAAGCCATGTACTTGCTTCAGTGGACATATAGGTAGTGGGTCGGAGTTGAGGGGTGAAATTCAAGCATTCTGGACGTTTATTTATTCATCTCTTCTGTCTACGCGTTACCGTGAATAGTACGGGCAAACACCATCTGAGTGGGCGATGAAATACGGGAAAAACCTATGCACGTGTTTCACGATGATCATCTTTCAGCAAGCGCGCGTAAAGGCATTCAAAAGCATCCAAATTGAAAAACTCATATTCAGCTTATTAGATGACTTTCTGGGTAAATTGTGAGGTCAATATTGAATCAAGGCATGGACAAAAACACGCTGCATCCTCCTCCGCTTCATTCCTCAAAATACAGAGACCCAAGTCATACGTCAACTCATCATCAAACAACCTACTACGCCAATGCGGGGTATGCGCCGTACTTGAACAAAACACAATCTAAGGAGCAGGAATCTTGCCATCCTGCCACCAAGGATAGAAGCGCTCGCCCTGGGCGAGATGGTGCAACGTGCAAGCATCATCCTCACACCCAACAGCCGCCTGCGCGTTGCCCCACCAATTAATCTTCTTACCAGCCCACTGGACGGAGAAGAGCATGACAATGGCCGAGATGGCAATGGAGGCGGAAAAAGAGGCGGAGAGGACAAAGTTGTACTTGGACCAGAACGCGAGGTAGCGGCTGCGGATATATATCCACGAGAACCAGGCGACGGGGACGGCGCCCCAGGCATACGAGAAGCTGTAGGGAGCCCATTGCAGGGAACCGGCAATAGCTGCGACAATGTGAACCTGACGGAGGGCACGGTTATTGGGCATGGCCTTCTTGAGGCTCCATACGAAGAGGACGAGAAGAATGCCGATAGGGAAGCCCATGAGCAGCCATTTGTACTGACCGTCCTTGCCAAAGACCCTGATTGGGCCAATGGTTCCCCAGAGGACAGAGGCAGTGAAGAAGGTGTTGGGGCCTGGGCACAAGAAGCGCATCGGAGCAGCCTTGGTGCAGACGTTCTTGATATCCATCTGGAACTTGAGGACGCCCGTGCACACAATCGTGGAGACCAACGTGGCAAAGATCTGGCCGGCAAATGTGACTCGGGGAGGAATCTTGACATAGTGGGCGATCTTGAGATCGTTGGCAAAGGTCAGGGCGTGGGCGCAAGTAACGTAGCCGTACGACTTGAAGAAGTTCATGGCGATGGCATTGCCCTCGACAATCATACCACCGATAAACTCGGCGAGCACGTTGAGTGTGATTTCGATACCGGTCATGGCGGATATGATTCCAATAGGGACGACAAAGATGAGGCAGAGGAGAATACCGTAGAAAATGACGCCAACAGAGGTATAGGTGGGCCACACGGTAATGCCGCAGATTCCAACGACAATGGAAATTACCAAGACGCCAAAGTACCACCACTCCGATACTTCGGGGTAGGCAGCCATGAGACGATTGTGAACATCTTGATACTCGCCCTCGTTAGCACGAACAGTATCGTCTGCGGCTCCGTCAACAACATTAGTCTTGCTCTTCTTCTTCCACTTGAAGCCCTGAATAAAGTTCTTGAAGCCCATGACGAGCTCGTAACGATGATAGAGAATGACGTGGGTGACAATGGCCGAGTAGACGGCAAAGAAGAAGCCGTAGACGAGAGAGTTGCCCGCCGTCATATAAGCAGCAGAGTATGCCCTGTATCTGGCCTCATCATACATGCCATGAGAGTCGAGTGTGCGCGAGACGTTGTACAACTTGCCGTGGTGATCGTAGAGTCTGTTGTCGATGATGGGAAGGTAGCCAGTGTTCCAAGTGTTGGTGTACCACACCGCGGCAATGATGAAGCCGGTGACGAACATACCGCCGACAGAGTTGAAGCTCGAAAATGAAGGAATCATGAGCGGATCGGTGGTGAAGCAGATGATATTCCAGTCAAAGGTCGGCAGGGGGTTGAACAGTCCCAGGCCGTTTCTCATACCGGTCCAGATGCTAAGATTCAAGTTGTTTGGGGCGATCCAGGTCATCCAGCTAAAGTAGGAGAGCACCGAGAAGATGTAGTTGGGAAACCAAAAGTAAACAAACATGGCACCAAAGGTGATGAGGAAGAAGTTGTAGCGCGATAATGACCACATCTTCTTAAAGGGTCCCATAACGGCGTGGTTTTGTTCGTCATGGAGGGCCGAGTTAAGGGCGATTGTGACGAGCGACGAGGGCCATACGCAGTAAGAAGGATAGACGAGGAACTTGCGCGTCAGGCCAGCAAGACCATAACCTATAAAGTTTGTGCCAAAGGCGTTGCAAAGCATGTAGCCAAAGGACCGGGCATACTGCTGGTTGAAGTACTGAGGCAGCACCTGGACCCAGACAATGTAGCCCGTATAGGGCGTGCTGCGGGACGTGTTGGCCATGATGGCAATGAGCATGTGCTCCTTTCTGTTGAAGCGACCCGGGTTGAGCGGTAGCTTAATATTCGTAAAGGGCACGGGGATGTCGACCTTGGGCATCCAGCGCTCCCAGGCCTTGCCGACCGGGAAGGCGAGCAGCTGGGCAACGTTTGTTTCGAAGCGGATGGAGGGCAGGCGAATACTGAACAGCTGGTTGACAAAGGCGAGGAAGATGGAGAAGATGAATCCAATGGTCCAGGCGCGAATGGTGGATACGGGGATATTGGGGTCATCGTGGTTGTCCACGGCGGCGCGGACTTCGGCGTAGGGGCTGTTGTTGGTGATGAGGGCCGCCTCGAGCTTCATTTCCTGAATCAAGCCGGCGTGCTTTTCCTGATTGTCGGCAATGTCCTCCATGGCTGTGACGTTTGGGGGCAGAACCGGTTAGCAAGAGCCATCTGTGCTTCAGCGAGAGTGAAGGGCGTACCGAGAAACTCCTTGATCTTCTGCAGAGTAACGTAGGGAAAGTTGGGGTCGCCATCGTGAATATGAAGAACGTTTTGCATTAACTAGAGGCGTATCAATTCATGTTGTTTTTTCGGAAGGGTAAAGAGATGGAAAAAAAGATGGGCGACAAAACCTACCGTTTGGACGCCCTCAAGGGTCAACGCGGCTGCAAACTCTTTGGCCTCCAAGATATCATCTTCCGTAGCGTTCAAATGGCTGCAGACAGTTAGTCCAATGATTGTGCGCAAATTTTTAGAAATGGAACGCACCCTTCAAGTGTTTGAGTTCGATTCAGGTCACCCGACTCGGAAGAGACCTTGGTACAGAAAATTCAGCGTCAGTCGCGGCATGGAGTAGTTTGCCCTGTCGAGGATGGGCAGAATACTCACCACCTGCTTCATTATCTCCTTCTCCATGACCTCGTGCTCCTTGTCGGTTCCCTCGTGTCTCGCACCAAGCACACCACCCGTACTCTGCTCCTGAGAGCTAATCTCCCGGGGTTCATTAACAGATCTCGCCATGATGAAGTGTCCCGTCTCCTGGCTCCAGGAAGTGAGAAAGCTCTGAGCCAAGGTATCGAGTGATGGAAGGAAAAAAGGTGGTGCCAGCAAGTGTGCCAGGTGAAGACGAGGCGGGAATTCGGGGTATGATATACCAAAAAAAGTCTAAATTGGCAGGGCTGGGTTCCGGTCACGAATGTCATGAGAAAGACACTTTTGTTCCCCGGCAACACCCCCCCCCCCCCCCCCCCTCCCCCCTCCGAGGCGGGAAGGTAGTTGAAGGCGTGCAGCGCCAAGATCGCGGGGGGCTTTGGCGAGCTGCTGATACAATACTGTGGTGGGGATGCGTGAGCAAACGGGAGAGATTTCGGAGTTGAACTTCCTCAATGGGTGTAGGTTGCCCAGGCCCTAGAGAAGTTGGGGCGTACAGATAGCCTGGCTGCCAAGGGACCTTTGAGGACAGGGGCTTTTAACTCTGCGCCACGATGTGTACCTAGGTACCTACCTACCTAGGTAGCAAGGCCTGTGTTTGTTTACTGGTAGGTAGTCCGTATCCGTAGTTACTGTGAGAAGAGTTGGAGAGAGATAAATAGTGATGAGCCCTGGCTTGACGCTGTCTTCGAGTCGGCCTGCCGCAATCGTCATCATAATTCGCAGTGCCTTCGTCATCTGCCGTGAGACATTGACAAGGCATCTATCAATATTCACGACAGCCCACGACAAGATGAATTTTGAATCACACTAAAGACTACAGTGCTTCCTAGCCTAATAGTAGGACTGTTGTCAAGGACCCTTTTTAGCAGGCACTATCATACGACATGACGTGAAGTTGAGTCGTGCGGCGCTAAACTAATAATGAAAGGTGATTATGAGTATTAGTCTGGCGCCAGCACCCCGAAAAAAAAAAAAAGAGCGAGATCGATGGGCTCCAGCAAAAAGGCTAGATGCGCAAGCTTATCTTGTCGTCTAAAAAGAGTCCACTAATTATTAATTTAGCCTGCAGATATCAGTCCAGCATTCCCCAGTCCTTTGCCTAGAAGCTGAAGACGGGCTGCTGCCGCCGATATTGCAGAGGCTGAAAGGGAACTTGTGCAAAATGGCATGGAAATGGCGGAACCTTTTTAACGCGTGATGTCAATTCTTTAGGCGGGTGGCGGCCAATCATGATACGTATAGGAAATCAAATGAAAAAAAAAAAAAAGGAATAGAGCGGTGCGACACACACATTAAATACCTGTACTTTCGCGTAAGCTTCGTCCCACCATCAGCGGTCTAGATTGGCAAGATTGGAAAGGCAGGGAGGGGGACAGGCATGCGCCCAGCCTGGGCACTTGTCTTGGCTTGTTGCCAGGCTGCTGCTGCGCCCGCGGCGAGAGGAGAACTCGGGTCCAAGTTATTGGCGGCTTGGCCTATTAAAAAGGCCTGAGTCTAAACTCAGGACCTTTTGTTCACTAACTAGAAGGGCAAGAAGGGCAAGAAGGGTTACGCCTGCCCTCCCACGCCGCTGCGTACTGATAAAGATCTTGTTGACGAAAGTCGGGATGGGTGGACGGAGTACTTCCGGAAGGAGCTCTCTGCTTCGTCAAGCAAGATTATCACTAACTCTTGCATCTCTGCGGGCTGCCATCCGGCTCCCGAACCTCCCTCCCCCCTCCCCTCCCTCTCAAAGTCATCGAAAAGGGCACACGAAAGAAGCACCTTTGCCACCTCAAGCAGATCGCGCCACCAACCGGGTTACTTCGTCCTGTCGGCGGGGGCTTTTCTTTCTTTGGCTCTGCGTCTAACAACTAAATATTAGGCTTTCTCGGGCACTAACCACGCCACACAGCTGCTGGCACCGAGGGGAGCCAAAAAAGGACCTTTTAGAAAACGCCACTCGGATGAATCCTCAGCCAGTAAAACCAGCCAAAATCAAATCTAGTCACATCAGGGATTCGAGAGAGCATGGCGTGACACTGACCACCAACGATAGCATCAAGCTCCTCCAAGATCTTTGCACCTTATTCTCCCTCTGAGCTTCTCTTTGTCTTCTACCGCGACGCACACCCACCTCTCCAATTCGGGCTCTTCCAGTTCAGCCCTGCGATTTCCTCAGCGTTTGTCGACGAATTGAGATTGCAACTTGATAGGAGGCATCTTACATAAAATGGCGTGCATCCCCTTAGGAAATGACTGGCCTTGCTGCTCTTGGCAAACGTGTCGATTGAGACAATGGCCTGCTGAACGACCAGGGCGCATTGAGGCTGGCCCCTCGGCCCCCAACTGTGATGAAAAAAAAAAAATGAGCCCAGACAAAATAAGACCGAAAACGCCCATCTGGGCCAAACAGAGTTAGATTGAATCTTGGCGAGTGTCGTCGGCCCATTGGCAGGAACTTTTGTTGTCCCATAAGCGCAACCATAAAACTGCCGCCTCCACCCCCCCCCCTCCCCCCAAGCAGTGGACAGCAAACGATACGCGGATTATGACATGTTCGTACTCGATGCCAACACGGGGCCACACGCCTCGACCACGCCGCGATGGCCCCAGCATCATCTTTGTATAGCAGGGCCTTTTGAGGAAGAGGCTATCCACCCCCGCGTTGAGGAATGGAGAGATTCTGATCTCGTAATAGATTCAAAGGGGCCACAGCAATACACCGGAGTTTGTTGGAGAGAGTTGGAGGGGTATCTCCTTTCCTCGCTCAGGGCGTTTCTTGGCGCACCCTCACAAAACAAACACATGTGTGTGCCTGTGTGCAGCATAGGCCTCACAGTCTACAGGCAAGCCCGAATTGATAATCACCCTGGCACGCATCTTCAGCTGTCGCTGCAGCACGTTGCAACGTCTGATGGGCCGTGTTTCACCTATCCGAGGTCTGTCAGCTTGTAAGACGAGGCGAAAAGGCTCTCGAGCTCAGCGTCGATGGAATGTCTGAGAATGACGTTTCCTTTTGGCCTTGCAAACCTGCACGTCCCAGATCTGAATTGCCGACATCCTTCCCCTCAACGATGAGCATTTGCATCTTCTCTCCACTTTCGGATGCATCTCAAAACGGCTGCAATTTTGGTTCTGCAGGCGGGATGCCGTGCCTCTCTACGTTGAGGAGCGCGGGGGTTTCATCGCTCCCTTTTTTTTTATATCTCCCCCTCTTAGCTTTAAACTGCTATCCGTACAAGCGTATCTTCTACGGCTCCTTGCGGCATTGCCAACATTGAAATACCAAAAGGAGCGATGGATTCGTACTTTGCTCGTGCCCAGCCAAGTGGCGCTGTAAGTAGTGCTAGCAGACGGCCAACCAATTTCTCCCATAACATGGCGGCAAAGCAATGAGCATAGCGCGGTCAAGAGATTGGACCTTTGTAACACATCTTGCTCTCTGGCCACTCAGAACTAGCTACGGCGGCTTGGCTGCTCAGCCCAGGTTTGCCAGGATCGACGCCCAAAGCCACCGCCAAGTCTTTTGCTCTAGTCACCCCATTCCTTTCCCCGAATTCCCTTATCAGTGGCGGTTCAATCATTTGATTCAACATTTGGTATGTTTCTTAAACAGGAAGGAGCCAACCGTGAGCTAGAAGCAAGGCTGCTTGGCAGCGCGGCCAGTGCCTCTGCGGCAACAGACCAATGCAGGGTGGCGAGGCGCCTTCTTGGTCGTTTGATCCGCAAAAGAAAAAGAGCAAAGCGAGTTGGCAAATAAGATGGCGGAGAATGTCCGTCACTTTCCTTCCTTCTCATCCTAACTCGGGATCTTTTGTTCTTCAGTGGCGGCAATAGTTGGCTTAGCTTCAGCAACCTCGTTGGGGGAGGCGTTCGCGATGGCGTCCAGAAGGAGCAGAAAATGCGCTGCACCATACATCCAAGACTTTTACAATTATGATGTGTCTTGGGATTGTCATTAAAGATCATCAAGGCCGAGGCCACACGCCATGTGCTTTCGAGGGCTCAACAAAGGATCATTACGCCAAGGAAGCCAGCGAGTCTCGTCATATACAACCATCTTTGCGGGCGTCTTTGACATTGTGTGTAAAGAGCCATCCATGACTGGCCCAATAGGCGCATGGAAATTGGAGGCCGCATCCGCATACTCGATAACCTTTGCTAGCCGAGGGTGTAATATGCACGATCGCGGGCGTCTTTGGACAGACTGCTGCCACGTGCTGTGTAGAACCGTTGTAGGCAGGCCTCGACAGGCAGGCCTCGACAACGTCTTCGTCCAATATAACCATGCGGCAAGCTGTCACATGACAAGAATTCGCACGCCAAGATGTCGAGTTGCATTTCAAGCGTATTCTAATGGTCATATTGGTCGTATAGCGCAAGCTCACCCAAGTTATGTACAATGTATCCTTAGTCCCCTCCAGGCCGTACACAAGTCTCAATCTAGTCCCAGACGAAGCGACCAGCTCTTCCTTCCCCAACTTTCCTTTCTATCATCCTCCCCTACTCGAGCAGGTGGCTGCGGACCGGCTTGTCCTCGGGCTGCTTCCAGTGCGTAATGACACCGCCCCAGCTCTCCTCGCTGTAGCCCTCCTGGACCTTTTTGCAGGTGCGAAGGCCCCATTCCGTGACGCCCACCATGAGGCACGTCTCAAACATGAAGGCGCAGCTCCCCGTGCCGACCTTGACAGGGCCGAGCTCGGCCTCGCGGGCGCCCTCGTGGCTCTCCGCGTCGGGCCCGTGGCCGCTCATGACGTTGTGCAGGCTCGCGCCGCCGGGCACGAAGCCGCCCGCGCCGCCCTTTTTCGCGTCGTAGCCGCCGCAGATGAGGCCCATAAACTCGGCCATGGTGTTGCGGTGGTACCACGGCGGACGGAACGTGTCCTCGCCGACGAGCCAGCGCGGCGGGAAAATGACAAAGTCGGCAATGGCGGTACCGGGCGTCGCGCTCGGCGCCGACAGCACCGTAAAGATGGAAGGGTCCGGGTGGTCAAACGACACGGTGCCAATGGTGCTGAAGCGGCCGAGGTCGTACTTGTACGGGTAGTAGTTGCCCTGCCAGCCGACTACGTCAAAGGGCGTGTGCGCCTGCGTCGTCTGGAACAGCGTGTTGTTGAACTTGACCGTGACCGTGTAGCGGCCCGCGCCCGCCGAGGCCGTCGCGCCCGCGTCGTCGCTAAAGTGCGCGACGGGCGCCTGGAAGTCGCGCGCGTTGGCCAGGCCGTTGGACCCAATCGGGCCGAGCTCGGGAAGGTGGTAGTGGCCCTCGTAGAGCTCGAGCGCGTAGCCGCGCGCCGCGCCCGACGGGAGGTGCACCTGGTACTTGACGCCGCGCGGTATGACGGCAATCTCCATGGGCCGCACGAGCAGCCAGCCCATTTCGGTGCGGATGTCGAGGTCGCCCTCCTGCGCGACAATGAGGAGGTCGCCGTCGGCCGAGTAAAACGCGGCCTGCTCGTCCATGCTCTTGCCGGCCGTGAAGACGTAGATGCCGAGCCCAGACTTTAGCGTGGCGTCGCCCGCGCCGGCAATGAGGCGCAGGCCCGAGACAAAGTCGAGGTCGTGGGCCTCGTTGTGGTCAAAGGGGTCCCAGCGCAGCTGGTTGGGGATGTAGTGCAGCTTGCTGGCGCCCTCGTCGAGCGCCGCGCCGTCGACGCCGTTGGCCGCGGCCGTCTTCTCGGCCGGGCCGTACGGCGGGTGCGCGCACGACGGCAGGATGCGGTACAGCCACGTCTGCTTGTTCTCGTGTCGCGGCGCCGTAAACGCCGTGCCGGAGAGCTTCTCGGCGTACAGGCCGTACGGGGGCTTTTGGGGGTTGTTGTGCCCGATGGGAAGAGTGCCCTCGACAGCTTCGGATCTGAATGACAGACAGGTTTTAGTACTAGTGGCGGGAAAACAAGACAAAAACGAGATACAGAAGCAAGTGTGACTGCAATGTGCGCACAATCTCTTGCGACACGAACTGTTCCTAGAAGGGGGAGCGAAGCCGCTTACTCAAAGTGACATCCGAAGCCGTTTTGGTAGCGGTACTTTTCCTTGGTGGCGAACTGTGTGACGGGCATCTTGACGATTGGCGATTCTGGAAACAGTCTCGAATGATGCCAATGCTGTTGGGACAAGTGTGAAGGATTGGAAAAGAAAGGAGAAAGTTTTAAAGCATGCAGGTGTCAGCAGCTTTATCGCGCATGGCTATTCGCGGGGATCTACAAATAAAAATAAAAAAACACCGTCACTGACGTGGTGAAGCCATCTTAGAGCGGCCCTCAACGCGCCTTGATTCCGCCGCGGGGAGGGCGGGCAGATTTCCGAGGGTAGCCGCGCTGCGCGACTCAGCCGGAAAGCTTCTGGGCAAAGCCAGCGCCCGGGTTCCGCCCGGACACGGTCACGTAATACCGGGAGCGGGGTCTGCCGCACTAACAAAGCCACTGGTTATGTGTTGCGGGGAGCTGTTAGTGAGCGATGTCACCGATCCTTCCGGGTAGGAAATCGCAAATGGTGGAATCGGAATCGCAAATGTTTCAAGAAAGCAGCCGCAATGCGGAAGAATCTGGCGCAACAGATGGAACATCAGGTGATTTTCGTAGCAGAGATCAGTTATCATGCACCCATGCAAGTTCACCAAACTCATCCATGTTTATCAATCAATCAGCGGCCTATCCAATGGGTGACCTCGGCACAAGCCATCACCTCCTGCTGCGCAGCACGATCGACCTAGCAACGCAGTCCAACAACTTACACAAGCCAACAAGAACGAACGAGACTTGAAGAGAAAATACCTCCGAGACAATTATTAAATTTTCTTCGGCAGGGAAAAAACATTCAAATGAGTCAAAGTGAGTTCGTGTGTAAAATAAAACGAGCAGAGACGCAGCCTCTGCCCAGCAAGTAGTAATTGTCTTTTAGAGAAGAGTACATAATTGGCGCCGCATCGCGGTCGCCGATGAGCAAAACGCGCCAAAACTATACCTGGGTATCTCATTGCAATATCCCAGGCGCCGCCCGCGAGGAACCTTACGAGACAAAACAATACAGGTTGAAGGAACTATTGGAACAGATAGCAGGGTTGGCGGGGGGTATTTACTCTTCTTCCTTCTTGTTCTTCTTCTTCTTGCCACCACCACCTCCGAACCCGGTCGCGGTAGGCTCCTTCTGAAGGTGAACAACCAGTCGTGTCCAGGACTCCTCCTTGTCCCACTCAAAGCCAGCGAGGTAGGGCTTGTCGAGCTCGTCATCGGCCTGTTGGTGCCCAGTCAGTCAGGCGGCTGTGCCTTATCATGGTTGAAAGCATGCAAAAAAACAAAACAAAAGACGTACCCGTTTCTTGTAAGACTTGTGTATGGCGTCTAGAGCATCCTTGATGGTTACACCCTTGAGGTTACGGGCGGTGACTTCCAGGCCCAAGGGGAAGTGCAGGTCAATCTTCTTGATGGGAGGTTTCGTCAAATGAAGCTTGAGAATGCTCGGGTCATCTACTGTTGACGTGCTCTTGTTGATTTTCCTGTGACACAAAATTGTCAGCAATCGATTCCGGAGACTCAGCCGATTGAGTGCATGAAGCTTAGCAGCCTAATGCACGATAGGACGAGGTGGGGCTCGACCGACCCGCCATGGTGGCATGAGCACATGGGACGGAAGAGGCAGGGCCATGTGACGACTTACCAGCCAGTTTTTTGCGTCTCAATGGCAATTTCTAGTTCGATCCCTTCCTTCTCTGCAGTTAAAGAGGTCCGTGTTAGCGCCGATGTCCCGGGGAGCGGAAGGCGAGGGAAAGCAGGGTAGTGAGGCTAAGCAGCTTGTCGTGGAGCAGGATGACATACCCAGGTCATTGACGTTGTAGACACCGGCAGCGGCGGCGGAGCTGGCTCTCCTTGTGCTCTTATCCTTTGGCGGCGACGAAGACAGCCCTTGAACGGCGGAGTCGACTTTAGCGAGAGGTTCCGACATGTTAGCAGAGGGTGTTGTGAAGCTGTTGCGACGAGTCACTAGCTGAGCTGCGAGGTGTGAGCATGTCTTTTAATTGTTTATAAAGATGAGTGACAGCGCAAAAGGTAAAGATGCAGACAGTACTGACCAGTTGAAAATGAATTGGTGGTTCGAAGTTGAATACGAGAAGTATTGTGAGTCGATGATGAAGAAGGAAAGAAGAGGGGAAAAGCAGGAGAAGAGGGGAGGAGGGTATTGATATGTGTTCGAGAGAATGCGCCTAGCGGACAAGGGAGCTTGTTGCTCAAGCTTGGTCAGGCCGGGCGGGGTAAGTAGCTGTAACTGTAACAAGCGGCCTTATAGTTTTGGTGTGGGAAAGCGAGGCAATTGGACTTGGGATCGCGTGACTTGAAGGTACTTGAGCGTCACTCCCGGAGGCACAGTGCCACTAAGTTGGGTCTAGCGCTGGCGGGCGTGTTAGCTGGTGGCCTGGTACCCAGCGCATCTGGGGTCTAAAATCCGGGGAAGCCTGGTCTCAGACCCACTGGTTCGATTCGCTGCTTGCAGAGAGAAGACGGAGCTAGGAAAAGGCTGAGATGAGGACGAGAAGAGATGGTGAAGACGAAACAATAGCAAGTCGATTGATCGAGATGGGGCTTTGTTGCTGTTCGTCAAGCTGTTTTCCTGGTGGAGGGTATCAAAATGTGGTGTGGTGTGTGACGGACCGCCTGGCAACAAACGGACCAGCAGGGAGCAACCCCTCACGACGGCCGGCGCATATCTCCTGGATACCAGCTGTCACGCCACTTTTGCTTGCACAACACAAGTACTCTCGCTGCACTTGGGGCGATACCTTGACCTAGTATCTCCATGTACCTTCCCAATGACTGCAGTCGGCCCCATCTCAACCCCCAACCCAGCCAGTTTTCAACTCTGAGCCTTGGGATTATTGGATGCTAGCATTAAGCCGCATGATGGGATGACCACGAGCCATTGCTGCTTTTGGCCATCTATATCACCAGGGGTCGGAGAAAGTGAGGCGGATTGACTGGCCTTCAGGGCATAGCAGCCAGCAGGCATGCCGGCCTGTCAGTGCTGGTATGAATGGCCGCGATGGCCGACCAGTACATCAAACGCAAACAAAATCGGCAGCTGGCAGCCCCTGGTAGCCCCTCATGCCGCCTGATCATCCCAGCCACTGCCCCGTACACACACACATCGAAGTCGACGTCACTGGTAGCGATCGCTTCACTCTATTTGCGCTGAGAGAGCTCTTTCCCTCTCATTTTCCAAATTTGCAAACCTAACAAATGTATCACCTTCACGACCTGGCTCTCAATATTTGCATGCTCGATTCAATGGCGCGCAAATGTCACATCAGACTCGCCCAGCCGTCAGTGAAGGCACTATTGTGGGTCGTTGGCGCACCTGACTGCCAGGCCTGCGGGTCACTAATCGATGGCATGAGCACGGCGAGGTCGGAGGCTCGGCTCGGAGCGACGATGAGGCCGTATCGAATAATTGGAAATGGAGACTTGCTTAAATTTCCAGCATCATTGTCGAGTCTCGATTCTGTTACCTCATGATCTTCTTTTTCGCTCGTGTTCCCGGGTTTCGATGAGGTGTTTATGTATAACTGTTGGGCCAGACAGGCAGACAGGGTCCATCAGACCCAGAGTGGAAGCACGCTGCAGCAGTGCAAAATGGCACCACAAGTTGGCTGTCGGCTGGTGAGGCATCGAGGCACGTCGCTTTCAAGTATCGTTGTAGTGGCATGTATTCGCCCCCTGCAGATACACAGCTGGTCTACAGCGTCGTATATAAATGTTGGTTATCCCTTGCGATGGTTGCGAGAGACAAGGGCTAGGAAATCTAGTTTGCCAGAGTCCGAACGGCTGGATTTAATTGACTCAACATTTGCCGAGACCTCGATATTAACTAATTCGAACTGCGTCGATTGACAGCCGATCGAAACATTTGGCTCGTAGTGTCTTGTCTGGAGCTTGGCTACGGATTAGAGCGGCAGTGGCTAGAGCGGCAGTGGCTGAAGCAGCAGTGGCTGAAGCGGTGCTGCCTACAGAGCAGGCAAAACTTACAAGCTCCAGTCAAATATGTGATGCAGTTGAATTGCGTTAGCTCCATAACCCTAACCCTTGATAACTCTCTACTATTTCTTATCATATATTTAATGTACTTCCGTCATGTACTAGACCGTACGTGTTATGAGAGGCTTCCCAAACCTGGATAACCTATGCTGGCACGTGGGGAGTACGGGTACGCGAACTCGATTTGCAGGTGTTCTTCGGACCAATCGGAGGAAGCATACAATGACTATTAAGGATAGAAGCCCACAACATCTTCGAAGGCTGTCAAAGAAGACCACAACTGGGTCTCTTTCATGCGGTGAAATTGGCCCTCTGCGTTTCCACTCAGGATCGCAAGACCCTCAGTAGCCGTAAACTGGCTGCTTGACAGCCGCGAGTAGCTGGGGTTTTAGACGAATAATGGAAAATTTGTCGATAAGACCATATTAGCCAATGCAGAGATACCAGCAATTCTCTCTTTCGCAATATTCCCTTGCGACTGGCGGTCCATCAACATGGTGGAGGTACTGCCGTAGTCGACTTTTAGTGCGCTCGACAGCTAATAATGACTTGCTCAGCCTGCAGCAAAACCTACTTAGTTGAGTTGCGGCAGACTTTTTCTGGAACCAACACTTGTCTGTTGCTCAACAAACGTTCCATAGGGGAAATTCTCTCATTTTTAACTTGTCTGGCCCTGGACGGCTTTGCCGTTGTCCGCCATGGGAGCCCCCGTGCTCTGCCACGCATGACTCTCACTGTACCGAAAGTGGCAGGCAGCTAGGCCGATCAACGAGCGAAACGCGCGGCCATCCCATCCACAACTGGAGCGGCGCAAGCCTCAAACGACGCCGTCTGGTTGAGACTCGTCGCAAAAGTGGCGAAGTCGGGCTCAAAACGAGGTATGGAGTGCTGACACGGAGAAGAAGAAAAATAAGCTTTATTACTGGAGAATGAGACTTGGGCATGAGGTGCCATCACGGATGGGCGGCAGGATGTTGGGGGCCCGAAGGCTTGTTCAGGGCCTCTCTCATGTCTAGTTACTATTGGTTCGCGGCGCCTAGGGGCCCGAATTAGTTTGATGCTCTATCATGGAAGGATAAAGCTTGGCTTTCGAAATTTCCATGATGAACGTCGGTGCTCCTATCTAGTTTGGTGTACATGGTGTGGGCAGTGTGGACTGCGATGGAGCCGGGTTTATGCAAACGAGGAACCCCCCTGGAGCGTGGAAAAAATTGCAGAAAGAAAGAAGGCAGAGTTGAGGAGAGAGAGAGGATGACGGCAAGACAAAAAAACAAGAAAGACGACCCTTCGCACAATGAGAGGGGAAAAAAGGCGTCTAGGACAAGATTCTCCACGACATCCACGATGGGTGCGCGAGCTGGCGTGGCCGGGGAATGATGGGTCCGAGTCCAGCGGGCTCAGTGGACAAGAGCGTCGAGAGGTGGCCAAAGAGCAGCGACTTTGCCCTCCTAAGTGAGGGGGGACGCGCAATGCAGGCCAACAGCGCAACGTCACCCTTCACGTACCCCCTCAGCGGTCGGCGCCAGCATTCGCGTCCGGAGAGGAAGGGGAAAAGTTGATTGCATCCGGTGAGTCTGAACTGAGCTGAGCCTCAAGCAACGAGTACAATTGATACTAGTTGCATCAAGACGATACGAGACTGAGTGTCGACATCTCCCACGTGTGACCTCTTCTTTCTTCTTTCTCCTCCATGTCTACTTGGGTACATCCTTCCAGCGCAAGACCAGTACTGGTTCAAGAAGTACCCGCATTACACCACCCACGAGCCACCACATAGCCTATACATAGGTACCCACGAAGCACGCTAGCGCCTGGCATATGCCGCCCCTGCCTGTTCGTCCCTCTTGGCTGCTTCCATTTTCTTACCACTTTCTCCATTGGCCTGCTTCCCGATCCTGCCTGGGTCTCTCTCTCTACCTTTTCGCAACACCAAAGAACTCATTCTTTTCTTCCTCTACCAGTCATCCTTTGCCCCTCAGTACCCGCGGCGCCTGCCTCTTTCTTCGTATCCAATTCGTTTCTACCGCTCTTAGGTCGACGGCAACATTCGCGTTTCTCCCCTCCACGAGCCTCCGACGACGAAACCGGAAGTCGCTGCATGCGACTGCGCAACCATCAGACCAAAAGCCTCGCCTCGCCCGCCTAAACCTCCCATCGCCCTCGTTCATCTAGCCATGAGAAGACATGCCTTCGCCACATGGCTTCCCTGACATTATCAGAAGGCCTGGCACCGCTGCCACCACCTCGCCTGATCTGCTCAAGCCGCCCCTGCCCACGCTCCCGACCAGCTTTTCCCAGCACGTCAAGGACACCGAGGTCCAGGTACCGCCTTTGATTGCCGGCGCCCTCGTCGCCGCCTTTGCCAACTCGCTTGCCGATGGCCTCGACAATGCCCTCCTCACCCACTACTACCTCGAAGACCAAAAAGTCAAAATCAACCTCGACCGTGTCATTGATCGCCTCATTTCCGACTTCTGCGGCCAGATATGGGACGAGCTCTACCAATTCTATCATAGCGACTCGACCGCCTCTCAGCCCAGCAGTCAGGTCATTCTTCTTTTCGAAGGCCCGATTCGCCAAATCATTCTTATCCTCAACGGGCCCGAAACTTCGCGCTGCGTCCTTGACCGTCTCGGCCCCAGCCTATCCCAGCGTAATGTGACTTGGTCTGCCAATGCCGGCGGGATTGACCTGCCTCTGGCCCTCCAGCTCATCTGCGGATTCTGGCATCGCGAATTTCCAGACGTTTCCCCTGGCGGCTACCCAGAGCAAATCGCCCGCACCCTGCATTCTCTCATCATCGACGGCCAAGCATCCAGCCGCCTCATTTCCGAAATAGACCGCGTTCTTCTCTCCCCCAACTATGTACAAGTTCACATGGCCGAGTCGGCCATTTGGGACGTAATTCGCAGACGGCCATTTCCTCCACCGACTGACGGTTATCAATTGATCCAATTCAAATTCGACTGTCAGCTTTTCGGACCCCTGGATGGTATTGGCGACCCGCAACTAGTCAATCTCGGCTCCTTGGGTGCTATTACCGGTACCGCTAGCAGCTGCGTATACACCACCGTCGCCGATTACGTTGCTAAGCAATGGCCCAAATGCGGTCGGCTGCTACTGAAATGCTTGGAAGAAGCAGTAACAAACGCATCAGCTTCGCATCAATCCGACGATCCCTGTCCCGGCATGTCTGTATGGGACAGCACTGACGAGGACTCGGTCTTTTGCCCCGGTCTGCGCCTGATTCATTTGGAAGTCGAAGAAAATGCGATTCGCGTTAGCGCCTCGGCATGGACGCACACCCTCATTGAGATTTTTCAGCAAATGTGCTGGATGTGTGCCACCCTCAGCGCATCGCCTTTTCCCGGTGGATCACTATCCGAATGCGCCGTTGTAGTGTCGGACTGGGCATACCAAGATGGCTCCGTCTATATGGACTGCAGCCTTGCGCATAAACCAGTACAGGAGGACGAAAGTATGACGTGGCTGGAGCAGTATGGTGGTGCGGCGATAGCATCCGGCTTTCCTCTGGGGGAATTCACGACACCGCAGAGCACATAAAATGGGCGTTTTTTTCTCTCTTCATGGTTGGGGTTTTGAATTTGGTTCTTTTTTGAATCTTTACACAAACACGTTTCTTTTGTGTGCCTATCGGGGCAATATCACGGCAGGGTTACATGCGTTGCATCAATTTTTCTTTTATCACGTTTAGACGGCTGATGACGGCTGCATCTGGGTTATCCGAAAGTCCCTGTAAAATTACTATATTAATAAATGATACCCAAATCTTGTTGGTCCTACTCGAAATTTGCGCTTCTTGTCTTGGACGCCACACCCCACTACGACGGTACTGATGGCGCTCTGCGCCGCCAGTCACCACCGTCCTCTTATCCGGCGCACCATCTTGCGAAAGTCACTGGAGCTGTGGGACTTGCAAGAATCCCTCAAGATGGGACACAAGCATTCTCCAAGTCATGCACGCCACAGCCCTTGCCCCTCACGCCCTTTTACCACGGAGCGGCCCGTCGATACTGGACCGATCGCCGCACCCCACGCCATCTGCCACTGCTGCCGTCCTCGCCGCTTGCCCCGCCACCAAACGGCACCGCGGCCTTCATTAACCGGCCAACAGTCGGCGCGAGTCTCCTATACCGAAAGCCGGCGTCCTCGAGGCCATCGATGACGAGCGCGCGCGTGGCGGGGTCGGCCATGAGCACGGGCCGCCGCTCGGCGTCGACGGCGAGGGGGTCCGTCGGCGCAAAGAGCCGCGAGCGGCGCAGCGTCGTGTACGGATCCCAGTAGGGCACCCAGGGGAGCACAGCAAGCGAGGAGGAGGGATGCGGTGGCCGCATTAGTAGTAGGAGCGCGCGGGCGTGGTCGGCTTGCTGCCGGGGCAGGAGGAGGGTTGTCTTGGCGGCGACGGAGCCGTCGGGGTGGGGGACGGGCTGGATGACGAGGAGGAAAGGGTGCGGCGAGGGGGATAACGTGTCCCAATCGGCTTGGGATATATTTGTATAGTATCTGAGAAGCCGGATTAGCATTATCAAAGTCAAGTTGTGAGGGTTTTTAGGGGGGGGGGGGAGGGGGGGGTGAAAGGGTCAAATGGGCATACGTGAAAGTAGAGCCCGGCTCAGCGACGAAGCCGTCGACGGCTTCGTCCATGAGAACCTGGGCCAGGGCGTTGCGGCGTTGCCGAAGCTCGTCGGTCTCGATGAGCGCGCCGCCGCCGTCGCTACCGCCGCCGCCGCCCTCCAGGCACGAGGCGTGCGCACACTGTTCCACCACCGCCTTTGGCGCATCGCTGCTGCTGCTGCTGCTGCTGCCATAACTACCACCACTGCCGACGGCGTGGACGGGGTTTGTTAGACATGGCATCTGCAGCGACAGGCGGGAGCGCGAAGCGGCGAGGTCGCAGAGGCTCCAGAGACCGACGGCGAGCAGGATGCCGGCCGCGACGGCGGCGCACAGGCTGGCGGCATCTCGCAGGGCGGCGGCTGCGCCGGTGCGCCGGAGGCGGTGCGGGTCCCGGGCGGGACTCTGCATCTCCAGATCGAAATTACCCATCTCTGGCACTGGAATTGTGAAATGACCTGTCGTTTTCTTTTTCTTTTCTGATTCTTTTTTTTTTTGTGGCGGAAAGCGGCGTTCGCCTCGTTTTTCTCCTGAATGTGGCTTCTGCCTCGGTCAAATCGCGGCAGAGCAGGGAGGCGACGATCCGTCGAAGCAATTGGCGTTTGCAGAGAGAGAGAGTGAGAAAGACAGGACAGGTACAAACAGAGATGCCGACTTTTTTTTTTCTTCTTTTTTTTCTTTCTTTTTTTCTTCTTTTTTAATAGTGTGGCTAGAATCAAGATGGCCTTCCGAGAATGCTGGTTGAGGTGTTTGACCTGCAGTGCAAAGGGAAAAGAAAGAAAATGTCAAAGCAGGGAAAGAACAGAGCGTGAAGTCCTAATGTAGAAGGCGATGATGGATGGGAACCTCGCTCGTCTTTTTAAAAGTGATGCAGACGCGACTTGCGCAAGGTCTCCCTCGGGGAGGGCGGCATGAACTACTTTAATTGGTTTCATCCCGTCTTTTGGTAGGTAGTTAGGCTTTTCATCCATATAACGAATCCGGAATGCCAGAGCCCAGTAGCTTCGTGTCTGTGTGGGACGCGGCCGATCCGCTCCGCCGTCAAGACGAAGGGGGCGGCGCTCTGGGTAATTAATGGGCTTTGCAATGAACGGGCCCAAGGATCTCTCACTAGTAAATCGAATCAAAAACGCCTCGATTGCGCATTCCTGCCCGTGAACAGAATCTAGGTTTGTGAGCACAAGGTTTCAAACACCTAGCGGCATGCTGGGATGGCGAGCGCTCATTAATGCAAGTACTTTAGTCCAGTGCGTCCTAATTTTTATAAAGGGAGACCAATTTGCAGCGCCAAAAAGAAATAGAGACAGAGAGAGAGACAGTAGTCTCGGAAGAAATCATTACAGATGCGAGTTAGTAGTTTTTTTTCTAAAACATTGCTTGCAGTCCTCGCTGCATGCCCGATTAATTGGCCGAGATGACGATTTTTGCATCACTGGGCATCTTGGTGAGGACTTTGACTCCTCGCAACATTACGACCTGCGCTCTCACCTTGTGTTCACTTATATCGTTAAATCGCACAAAGGATCATGGCAGCAGAAAGTACGAGAAACAGAACTGTTGAGTATGAGATGCAGAAATGTTTGTGGTAGTGAATGATGCAGAGGCTGCAGGTGAAGCCAAAGGTGAGATGCATCTGAGAGGTGCAAAAAGGCAGCCGTGATGGGCGGCTATTCAGCAGCATCAATCTCAAGAGCTTCTCCTACACTCTCCAGCATCACCATTTTAGGAGATCATATTCCTTGTTCCCCTCGATCTCTCTGTACAAAGTTCAAGACGGACTGGCTTTATACCCCCGTTGACTCAGAGCACAACCACCAAACTTCACCAAGCTCTCAAACAGACCACCACCTCTTCGAAAGCAAATGGCCAGGAAAAAAGCCATCAACGTCAAAAGAAGCACCAAAGCCACCCACCTACCGGCAAGCACCGAGAAAGACGCCCACGCCGAAGCCCTCTGGCGTCGGGCACGAGCTCTCGAGCTCACCAAAGCCTCCCTCCTCCTCGCCAACGACAAGCTCATCCTCGACAACAAAGAGCTCACACGCTCCAACAAGGACCTAACCCTGGACAACGACAAGCTCATCTTCAGCAACGGCAAGCTCACCCTGGACAATGACAAGCTCACCCTCGACAACAAAGAGCTCACACGCTCCAACAAGAATCTCCTCCGCTCCAACAAGGAACTCACCCGCAGCAGCGACCTCATCTCCGTCGAGTCCGCCCAGCGCCGCACCCGCATCGCCCAGCTCCTCGACGAGCTCGCGACCGCCCGCCGCGCACACGCCGCCGACCGCGCGCGTCTCCTCAAGCGCGCGGGCGTCATCGCGGGAAATCTCGGCAAGACGTTGCGGGACAAGCGTGCGCTGCGGGCGCAGCTCGCGCACGACTCGCCAGAGAGCAAGATTCACCGCGCGGCGGCGCAAGTTGCCTACGAGGTGTTTGAGAACCGCAAACACAGGAACTTGCTGCTGCATATATTGAAGCGCTGCCGCAGGGCGTATACGGGGTCGGATGGACCTCCGCCGCCGCGGCCGCCGTCGCCGGAGCCAGACACTGCCGTTGCTGATCCTGTCGGTGGTGATGATGATGATGATGATGATGATGATGATGATGATGACGATGATGATGATGATGATGATGATGATGATGACTGCGAGTGGGATCCCTTTATCGCCGCGGAGCAGCAGAAAGTGTGCACGCCGACGCGACCGTCGAAGGCGACGCTCATTACGCCCGTGTCGATTCCTTCCAGGCCTGTGAGTCTGACCGACAGTGATGAATTTGTTCTTCACACGCCAACTCGCCGCGAGGGGCTGCGGCCAAGAAAATCCTTTGTTTACAAAATTTCCAGTCAGTGGTAGAATGAAGCCTAGTCGAGGACAAGTTTGCTTAATGCTTGTGTTGCGCTGCCCCCAGACGACGGCAGTTACTGCCCTTGTTGATTCAGAATTTTGCTTTCTGTGGGACGAGAGACATTTGTGAGGAGTGAAATTGCTTACTGATTGCTCTGAATTGCAAGAAAAGGGACCCGCAAGGAAAAAAAGTACTGTGTGCAGAGTAGAGTTTCATTGGAATCTGTAATATCTAGAAACAGGAACAAACACGCTATAGCATGCCGATGTAAACTCCATTAACGCCATTAATGTGCCATTCTCAAGTCATCATTGTCCGTTTCCAATCTTCAGTTGTTGCTATGTAGAGCAATCTTGCATATTGCTTTGGCTGCATCGACACAATTTATTCGCCTTCGTTGCGGGATGTGGTATCGGCTCGATTTATTCACCTTCGTTGCGGGAGGCGTAGCTGGCAGCGCTCTCACCCACCTTGACCTCGTCTTCTGGGACACCCACGGCGACGCTCATGACGCTCTGTCTGGCGCTGGAACGGCCCTTGTCACGCGGGCCCGCGATGCCGGAGCCGCCCATAGGCACGACGCTCGCGCTTGCGGTGGTGCTCACGCTCTCACTGCGCACATGCCGGCTGGCGCCGCTCTCTCTGCGCTCGCGCACCATCTTCTCCAGCTCGCGCACGCGCTTTTTGAGCATCTCATTCTCCTTCTTGGCTGTCTCGAGCTCACTGCGGTAAAAAGCCGTCTCCTCGTAGCGCGCAGTCGCGGGCATGAGCGCTGGGCTCATGTGATCGCCGCCGAAGCTACTGCCCGGCGTCGCCGCTACCGAGGTGGACGAGGCATGGTGCGGCACGCGCTGATTGTGAAAGTAGCTCGAGGGATCCAAGCCGGCCCCCGTGCCAGGTGCGGCCGCGGCGTTGGCGCTGGTCAGATGCACACCGCCGCCCGGGGCGGCCTGGCTGGATCGCGAGGTGCTACTATCTTGCCTCGAAAGGGGTACCGGCGCCGGGGGTCGGGGAAAGTGCGTGCCGCGACCATCAAAGGAAGAGGCCAGCTGGTGGCTCTGACTGGCGGTCGACGACGTGCGATGGTGGCGCCTGGTTGTGGGTATGGAGAAGCCTGAGCCGGAAAGCAGCGATGTCTCGGTGATAGGGTCATGACTAGTGGCCGCCGAGGCCGAGGACGCATTAGATGCTACAGATGCGTTGTTAGAGGCTCGTAGGATGGACAGTTCGCGGGTGAGGCGGTTGACCTGTACGATAGTGTTAGCTCAAGGCGGGGCAATAGCAGCAGCATGCAGTCCATGTGACAAGGGACCTACCAGATTTTCTTGTTCTTTCTCGAGCTCCATGTGAAGCTCAGAAGTAGTCATGGGACGAGGATGGCGCAGAGGCCCGGGACCGCTCATGGCATCTGGCTGCTGGGCGAGCTGTGCAGAAGGAAGCTGAGGTGAGGGGAGAGACGAGACGGCTGTGCCTCCCTGCTGATTCACGGCGCTCTGATTGGAGGGAAGAATGTTCAGCGACGAGGACGGCGTCAGGTTTCCTGGCGAGGAGCTTGCGGCTGGTGCCGCGGCGGCAGCGGAAGCCATCTGAAGGTTGGCGGACTGGCGACGTGACGACGATGCTGGTGGGCGAGGCGAGGCGGGCACAGAATTCAGATCAGGCATGGCTGATGATGATGGCAGCTCTGTCCCGCTCGTCTAGTCCTTGCGAGGAGGGCGCAAGCTATAACGAAGGAGCAACGCAGAAGACGGTCGATTTAAGATGACCCATATATTCGGAACCGGCGTGAAGTGAAGAAGGAAATGATAGAGGGGGGGAAGAAAAGGGGAGTGAGCCTGCAATGACAAGGGCGTTGAAGAGCAAAGAGGCCAGCGACTCAGCGAGCTGTGTTAGTTTGTGGAGGAAAAAGGTCTCAGAGACAACAGAGACAAGACAATAGTAGCCGGAGACGCGTACCTTAGGTTGGTACTCGGTACCTGGCTACCTTTAGGAGGTACCTTAGGAGGTAATTTAGCGGTGGAGGGGCCTGTAGATCCCTGCGACGGCCCTGGAAAGGTTGTACTGAGGCTTGGGATTGGTGCCCATTTGAAGCGGCTAGCGACATTAGGTAGTTGATTGAAAATGTGATACCTAACGGTCCATGGATCCCCAAAGCAATGACCAGCTTCATCACTAGAGGCCTTTATTGTCGTGTGACCACGGACACCTTGCCGGGCACAGTGAAGCCGTGATCGCCATCGTGCGCCATGGCCAACTTGCGGGGAGCTGCCCTTGATTAAACAACCCCCAATTGACATCGGAATTAGATGGAATGGAGGCTGCACAGTAACATGAATGCTCTTCCGCCCTTGTCAAGGACAACCAGTGAAACGGCTCAAATTTCCACAATGCAAGATGAAAGTCCCGGCACATCTGATCCGCTTATCTGACTGCCGTCTTGGCCAAAACATGCCATATTCTCCAAAAAGCACCTCAGATTCGACGACTTTAAACCTGGCATCAATAGCGCTTTGATGGCCGAATCCCCCGCGCACAAAGGGAAAAACTGAGCGCCGTTGAGCGCACCGCGGGCGAAGCAATGCGTGCCCCAGTACTGCAACAGATATACAGCTGTCGTAAGCCTAGATGCAGAGTGGCACTTTTTCCAACCATGGCTGGCTGATTACCGCACGAGATCCAGAGGACATTAACAGCCCTTTGTGTAACGTGTATCTAGGTAGTGGCAGTGACGTCTAGCTAAGGTGCTACGGCCTCCTGGACACTGATTGCTACTAAGCTACGGCGTATATCCTCCACTACTACTGTCAAATCACAGACTCCTATCTGTGCGAGCTTTTTTTTCTTCAATGGGGAATCAAGGCTTGTCGGGTGAATTCCACATCACCACGGAGTGAATGCTGGCTGCATGGAATTATCGTCGACAACTATCCACGGGTACCACGTACAACACTGGCTACTAATCCGGAATTGTGGTTTCGATTCTTTTCGACTCATGCACATAGAGGAGTGTTGAGTGACTTGAAGACACTCTCGAGATCGACTTGCAGGTGAATGTATCGCGGCCTCAGAAAGAGAACCTTGAAGATGGTTTAAAAGATCCAACCCTGATTTCTTCGGCGCAATGGAACATACACCAAATAACCCGGATTGGCCTAATAAAGAACTTTGTCACCTTTATTCACATGCTTGCTGAGCCACAACAAGAGGCAGCCCACACGGGAAGCTAGTGGCACAGTTACGTTGCGGATCAGCACCGCCACAGGTATGAGAGTATGAGATGACGTCGCGATATTTGCCCCGCCCCTCAAGGTCTAGTTGGAGCTATCCATGTTGCCACGAACACATGCTTCCTGCCTCTTTCAACTATTTTGTCACAAAATAAAACCTGTTTCCTCTACTACTTATATATCTTATCTCCCAGCTGAGCATCCTCTCGATCCATTACATACCCCAATTTCCCACTTTCATCATCTTGCCCGCGCGAAACAATAAGATGGCGTCCAAGGCTACTGTTATTGTCAAGAACATCTCTGCCTCGACTAGCGATGGCGAAGTCAAAGACTTTTTTGTCTTTTGGTAAGTCATGAATACTACCTCGGAAATAATATATCAAAGCATGATACTAATCCATCACAGCGGTAAGGTCACCGACATCAAAATCAGCACCGAGGGCGAGACCAAGACCGCAGAAGTCACCTTTGAGAAGGAGACTGCGATGAAGACGGCTCTCCTTTTGACCAACACGCAGCTCGGCCCCAACCACATCACCATCACCAGCGCCAGCGGCACCGCCCCCGGTGACGACGTCGCGCACGACACCAAGGAGCGCGACTCGGACGAAATCACGCAGGAGGAGAAGCCACGGGCGCGCATCCTGGCCGAGTACCTGGCACACGGCTACGTGGTCGGCGATGCGACCATTGAGCACGCCATCGAGCTTGACACCAAGCACAACGTGTCAACGCGCTTCCTGAGCACCATTCAGAACCTCGACTCAAAGTACCATGCGACGGACCGGGCGCGTGCGACGGATCAGAGTTACGGCCTGTCGCAAAAGGCCAACCACTTTTGGACCGGCCTGAGCTCGTACTTTGAAAAGGCCAGCACCACGCCCACTGGCCGCAAGATTGCCAAGTTTTACACGGACGGCTCCCGCCAGGTCCAGGACATTCACAACGAGGCCCGCCGCCTCGCCGACCTGAAGAAGGAGGAGCACGGAGGCAGCGCGTACAAGGCCGCCGGCCTCGAGCGTGTCTTTGGACAGCAGAAGCCCAAGGAAGAGGGCAACGCCGCTTCTGGCACTGCTCCTGCTACTGCCGCGGGTGCTACCGCGCCCGCGCCTGCCGACACCAAGACTGCCGACACCAAGACTGGTTAAACGGTTCTCTGTGCAGAGTGTTTATGGGAAAATGGTTCTAAATTGACTATTATGATGACTCTTACGATCGATGGCGTGTTTGATGTATTTCATTCTTCAACGAATTGAGACCTATGAGTATGAGTAAATGTATGATTTTGAGAATGACTCTTGTAACATCGATGACTTGAATTCCTACATCAACCGAATGGTCGGTGACTTGAATATCTATATCAAGCGAATGGCAATAGTTGACCGAGTCACATGCCTTGGCATCAAGCTCGCATGCAGAGAGGGGTAACGATGACGAAACTCATGCAGATATTGGAGTCTGTTGCAGAATCGAGTCAACCAGCATGGACCTTTAGCTACGGCTAGTCTACTTATTTTCACCACGCTTCAAAAACTATAACCTTTTGTTTATGTCTGCTTTGCGAGGGTAGCGGGGTGATGAATTATCGATACGACGTCTGAACTAGCTATCTGCATATAGACATTTGCCAGTGATGGAAATATCAGTTTGCGTATAAAGGTAGTGAACCCTCCGTCTCAGCAAAGGCGCGCTCCAAGATTTCCAGCCCCTGCTCGATTTGCTCTGCCGTGACAGTAATGGGCGGCGCGATGCGGAACACGCCACCGAAACTCGGATGACTGCTCAGATTCGCCCACAGGCCGTGCTCAAACGCCCTGTCTCCGATACGCTTGGCCAGGTCGTTGCCGGGGGTTTTGGACTCACGATCCGTGACGATTTCGACGCCGGCCATGAGCCCCCGGCCGCGGACCTCGCCAATGCAGCCGTAGCGAGCCATGAGCGTGCGCAGCCCTCTGTGAAGCACGCTGCCGACCTCGCGCGCATGCTGCACCAAGTCATCGCGGTGGACGATTTCGAGCACCTTGTCGCCCACGGCGGCAACGAGCGGATCGTTCAGGTGAGTCGTGTAAAAGAAGAAGTTATTTTGTGCCTGCGACACGCGGTGAAGGTGCTCGCTCGTCACGACGGCGCTCAGAGGCAGGCCGTTTCCTAGCGTCTTGGACAGCGTCAGAATGTCCGGAACGACTTGTTCATGGTCAATGGCCATGAAGTCGCCGCAACGGCCGACGCCGGTCTGCGCCTCGTCCACGATGAGGAGCATGCCTCGCTTCTCGCAGTGCCTCTTGAGCGCTTTGAGGTACCCACGCGGCAGGACGTGCATCCCGCCTGAACTCTGGATGCACTCGACGATGCAGCAAGCCAGCGATCCGCACGACTGGAGATCAATCATGCGCCATCCGTAATCGAGTTCCGCCTCCCAGTCGTAGCTGCCGTCGGCGGCGTTTCGAAAGACGGATCGATAGCCGTTGGGGGCCGGCAGCATCATGGAGCCTGGCATGAGGGGACCGTGGCCGCTGCGGCCAAAGTGGAATTGGGCGCCGACGGCCTGTGCGGTAACACCGTGCCAGGAGGCGCCTAGCCCGACGACTTCGAATTTGCCGGTGCAGACTTTGGCGAGCTTGATGGCGGCTTCGTTGCTCTCGCCGCCCGTCGAGAGAAACATGGCTCTGTCGAGTCCCTTGGGCAGCATCCGGCACAGGCGCTCGGCGAGGTGAATGACGGGAGGGGACACCATGCCGGAGAATGTGTGGTCGAGATACATGGCATGGTCAACAATGACCTTTACGATTTCCGGGTGGCCGTGGCCGAGCAGGCACGACATTTGACCAGAAGTCCAGTCAAGCAGCCTCTGACCGCTAGCTGTGTAAAAGTAAAGACCGGCGGTACCAGTTACTATCTCATCGTGTATGGCACTCCCGAACCCTAAAAGATGATTTTGAGACTTTTTGATGAGGGCGTCCTGTTCTTCGCTTTGATATAGTGTTGGTGGTGTATTGTCTTTTTGTACCAGCGTCGTAGCAGGCAAGTTTGCCTCGAAAGTCGATCCAGGTGCCATGACGGCCAATGAATGTTCAAGAGATGTCGTTCAAGGTAATTGATACAAAGACCAAATCGTTCTGCTTGAGATTTTCATCAGAGAACTGCGGGGGGTCTTATACTCGATTGACCTACGGCCTTTGCCTAGGCACTTGCATGCTGGCTGCATAGTTTTCCGCGGGCAACTCCCCCCCCCTCGGAAAACTGTACGAGAACAACAACGACCTGTCCCGATCCCCGATCAAACATTATGCAGTGGATCCCAGAGACTGGGGAAGAATTCATCTAGCATAAAATCATCAGACATGACAAAATCGTGCAGGTCAAGCATGTTCTCCGCACCATGGCTTTCTTGCGCCACGTTTGCAAGCACCTTGTCGATTACTTCAGCGTGCTGTGCCAAGCAAACGTCGCCCATGTCCCAGCCATGAGCTTCTTTATGAAGACGTAGTATGCCGATGAATTGTCTGGCCAGCTGAAAAGATGAAGTTTGCGCGAGGCCCGTCACAGAGCTCTCAGTCTCGAGTGCGTTGCGGAGGAGGAGATTGATGGTGCTCGGGTAAGTAAATGCGGCCACTGGCAGCCAGAAATCATTCAGTTGGATAGGTTGAAGATCTTGGGTAAAGAAAAGTATCTCTTCTGCCAACTGACGACCCTGCAGAGAGCTGTTCAAGAGCTGCTCCTCTGACGAGTTGGAGGCTTGCTTCATAGCTTCCAGCTGTGTCCTTTGTAAGAGCAGCTTCATACTTAGGTATGCCAGGCGCAGATTGGATGCTCCTGGTAAATCCAAGCTTGTGCCTCGCACAATTATCATCCGGGGCACCTCTTCTAAAGAGTCTACCCACGTGTGTAGTGCCAACTCAATTTGCAGCGTACCCCTGCTCTGTCGTTGCTCAATGCTGTACATGTTCTCTAGGCATGTGTCGAGAACGCTGGTCAATCCAACAAGGGCAGCGAATATAGTCGCGGCCCATGTGTCCTTTTCCACAAGGCCAGGTTTGCATAGCTGCTGGCGCGTTGGAGGTGGCACATCGTGCTGCGACCGCGCGATGCGTGGTGGTGTTCCCTGAGCCAGGCTTGTCCTTTTCTACCATCAACCAACGGGGTCTCAAGGACAAAAAGGCTAGGGCGACATACCATTTATCATGGACAAACAATGCCCACCAAATACTCATTCTGAGGCGTTTCTCCGACTCTGGTATATTCCAGTCCGTCGGATCATGATTCAGCCCGAGCGAATGCGCTATAGACACGGCCGAAGCCAGGAGCACGCCGTTTCCAATCAAGGAAGTTGTCGGACGGCCGCCCACGTTGAGCAGTATAGCGGTAATAATAGGCACGCCAGGCGACAAGTGCAACTCTGAATACAGCGCTTCGTTGGCGAGGTTCCAGATGAATCTGCCATCCGGCCACGGTTGGCCGGCCATTTTTGGTGAGTGTGCGCAATACACTACCATGTGTGCATAGATGCATGCGAGCAGTGCAGGCGACATCTTTTTCTTGTCATCTCGCAGCTGCTGCCGAAAGGAATCTTGTTCCAGAAGTGGCATACAAGGATTGATTCTGCGGAAATACCTTTCAAGAGAATGTTAGCAATTGTCGGAGAAAGAAAGTGTGTACTAGTCTCGCTTTACGTCTCAATCATATCATCCAGTCTGAGCTCGAGAAGCTTTTCTATAATTTCCAGCTTTTCTGCCGCCGGACTTTGATGAGGTACTATGCCTAGCGGTCGCTTTTGAACAGCAGTGAACAACACCGGTTTGGATCTACTCAGTGAAGCCGGAAGGACCATCCGAATCCGTCTCTGGGCACCCGGCACGCCAGCAAGATAGTCTGTAAGAACTCGGCTGTCATCCGTCGCGGCGGGACCGACAATGTGGAGATTCTCATCGTCTGCCGCGTCAAGACTCGGAAGCTCTTCCAAAGACTGTACGGATATGCCGCGTCGCGGTGGAGTCACTGTTTGCAATGGAGTTGCCTCAGCCGACCTTGTGTTGGCACGTCGTCTACTTGAACGCCGCGGGGCTGTTGTTGCCTGGGGCTGCTTCGCAGTGGCTCCCGAGCGATGCCTATTGCTCCGATGTGTGCTCAAACGTTGACCGTCGTCGTCGGGGCGGTCTGCCGGGTCTTTTCGCGGAGAATCCGGATAATGGCAGTTTGACTTGTGCAGTTTACACATTAGACATGCAGATGAATTGGCCTCTGTCTGGCATCGTGATTTGCGCCGCCGGCACGGGATGCAGGCCGGCTGAAGATGCGACCGGTAAGGCCGCTCGGCAGTTGCACAAGCCTCCATGTCACAGCGACGCGAAATGGGGGCCTTTGAGAGGGACGTGATTACAGTTTTGCAATGATTACATGCAAAAGCAGAAATGTTGAGCCGGACAACTCCACGGCCAAGTTATCTGTATGTAGGTGGAGCGGGTAGTTTGCCGCGGAAAACCTAGCCATTTATCTAGGGTCGTAAGCCTCATAGGGTCACAGACACAGGTGGAGAGAAGTGCCAAGATCTTGGGGAGAAGAATTTCGAAGAAAAAAAAATAACGCGGTGGGATTGTTCAACGGCTTTCGCCATCATTGGCGGTCGGCGGGTGCCGACGACGGGGCTTCGGCTCCAATACTGGCCGCTGGAGTGTAATGACTGATCCGCGGGTGGGTTAACGGCCGTACCAACGAGCGACCATCTATCTGCGTTAGTATTCCCTTGTAATTGCCTAGCCTGTATGGAGTAATATAGGTCAACTATCGGCTGGTCCCTAAGCATTGGTTAGCCGCTCTATGCTCCGCGAATAGCGTTTTACGGCTGATGTGTGTCGAGGCTACGTATCCAGCTATGAAAACAATATTCATCAATATTATTGAAGCCCAAATACTCTCAATCTCTGCCCTAAGCGGCCGGTCCCACGCCTTGTTAGCCGCTCTATGCTCCACGAATAGCGTCATACGGCTGATATGTCGCGAGGCTGCGTATATATCCAAGAGTGTAATACAAATCAATAAATATTAAAGCGCGGCTACTCTCAGTCTTTGCCCTCGGCCCGAATTTGGGAAACTTTATTGGAAATATGTCAAGAGTCTTTGTAGGTGCTCTGATAATTAGAGTGTGCGTTGCTATCAGTGCCTTGTCATTGCCGTTATTCTCCAAGAAGTCACGAGCAGCCACCAGCAAGAGAGGAATTTTACAGTAAACAGATATCTTTGATGGCCTTGTTAATAAATAACAGAATTCACAAGAAACGTTTGTCTTCAGTCTAATCCTAGTACTACAATGTGTTACCCAATAAAATAGGCAGGCAGGCTAGGCCAGGCTGGTTAAAGCTCTAGCAAAGACTTCAGACCTGTCTCTATGACAATGAGAATCTTTTCGAAATAACGCAAAAAAACGTGGTTACCACCGCATTCCCCGCCATCGCGTTATCAGGGCCCAGTCAAAGAAATAATAACGCGGCACTCGTCTCCGCACACAGCGCCCAACTCGGGAAGCTGAGTTCGATTGCACTGCATGTCCATGATTAGCTTTCCAAAACTCTGTGCAAAGAGTCATGATGGAATCTGAATTGGGGCCTCACCTTGCATTTTTCGAACCAGTAATCTGGCTCCGTTGCTCTCTTCGACCTCGACTTTCCCACTTCCCGGGCCTGAACCTTTCTCAGCGCGGTTGCCACCTGATTGCAGTGATCACGCATTGCCTTTCCAAGCGGAGTACTCTCTGGTATCTTGGCCCCAAACTCGGCACAGGTCGCAAAAAGCTGTTCGAGGCCCATGATTCTCTCTTTTTCCTTGGCCGCTTCCTGGCGGCGTGCCTCTTCCCTGGCGGCCGCCTCCTTGACGAGACGCTCACTCGTTTGCCAAGTTGTCTCAAAACCTAATTGCAGAGCGCTACCCATACTCGTAATCATTTTGTGCTTGAGCTCGTTGCCGTATATATCGTCGCGCTGTGGTCCGCCAATGGATTCTTGGAAGTCGGCCATGGAGTCGTCAAACCAGGTGACGCCGTGTCCGACGGGATTGTCCATGCTCTTGATCGCGTCAAGCGCCTTGTGAGCGTAAGGCGCCACGAGCATAAACGCGGCAGCTTTGCCAGCAGATTTGGGCACTTTGAAGCGGCTAGGCTTGTAGGCCGGGCGGGTGCCCTTGTTCACCCTGGAGGGCGGTTTCGGTGTCGGCTTCGACGGTTTGGTAGGCTTGCGCCCACCGTCACAGCAGATTTGCCTCTTTCTGAAACACGGCCTGCATTTCTTTTCAGGTCCCAGAGGCTGGCCTGGGACTCTCGTCACGCCAGTCTTTTGATTCGGGTCCTTGGGCTTGTGATGTGTTGGAACCGCGCCGGGCATGTTTTTTATAGGCGGATTCTGGCCTGTAGGTGGCTTAAGTGAACCGGCCGGGCCCCAATCCTTCAAACCGTTGATGATTGCATCCTTGAGATGATTGCCAGGCGATGATGGGCGTAGAGGCGGTCTGTTCATCATGGCTAGACCAGTTGAGCTTAGCCCAAGAAGGGCAAGATGGATAAATGCAATCTTCATCTTGTGCGTTATGGGAACCAAGGACGTTTCTGAAAGTAAAGAAAAGGGAGTAGAAGGCTTGCCAAAAGTATATGATTATAATGAAAGCAAATGGACGACTTTAAATAATTCAGCCAAGGCTATTTTGTATTTTTGTGCAGACGCAGATCACGCGCAGCCAATGTAAACTGACATTTTTTTACATTGGAGTGATACGAAAACACGACCAGTTTTCATTGAATTTTACCAGCGTAGCCTATAATGACGGGCCGAGTCATTTCTTGATATTGGCCTCGGTGTATCAGGTCGCCGACGAGGATGAGAAGCAGCCGCCCAGTAGCCTGAGCCGTGTAAGCCGTCGGCGTTTGCCGGCTGCGGCCAGATTCTGATGGCGAGGTAAGTATATCCGTATTTCAATACAGGAATTGCAGGGGCCACATGCGTGACAAATCTTTTTTGCGGCTCGCGGCTCTCGAAGGCGGCAAGCAGTCTCGTTATTTACAGCAAGGGCGACGTTGGACAAAAGTGGTGAGGATCTCAGACCAACTGGGAAGCCAGCACGGACCAAGACTTGGCAGTTCCAAGCGGAACGGTACGTCTGTACTTTCTTAAATGGTGGATGCCAATGACGTACCTAGACTACCGAGTCGCCTACACGAATTGAATACAGGACATTGTGTTGGCATACTGTGTAGTTGTGCGTGCATGGTGTCCATATATTAGGCGCAGTTGGCGTTGATCAGCGCGGTAATCAATATCGAGATGACGTTTCTTGATACGTTGACCATATTTCTGTCCTGGGTTTAATTGGTTGAACTAATCTTGGATCAATTGACCGTTTCAATTTATATTGACATGACGTTTAGTTATACGCTGCTGACTTTTCTGTATTGGGAGTAACTGGTTGAGATAGTAGATCACTCGCGTAGTAATTTACTTTAAAAACAACGTCGAGTTGTACCACTACAACTTATGCTGTAGTAATAATATCGACATAGCCTTCAGCTATACCGTTATACACCTATAACTTGTATGCATCCAGGGTGGTGGTCCCTGACTCACTTGTTGCCAGCTTTTCAGGTACCGCGGCGCCACATAAGGTTCGTAGGGTTCTATAGTTGAATGCCTCCAGTCATAGTCCACAACGGGTTGGCCGATGCCTCCATAATTGTCCACAACGAGTCGGTCGATTCGGCCTTTGCCGGGTTTGTCATTTAATATTCTGGCATGGTTAGTCAGCTATAGGGCAGGCCTCAATCTTAACGAAGCTCTACCGCGACTCGACCGCAATTTCAGAGCACCGTGTTATAGCACAGCATGTTCAAGTATATTATTCTCTCTATTTTTCTCTCTATATAAATTTTAGGATCTACTCTCCTAGATTATATCGTTCCCATCTCTTCCAAGCAGCTTTATCCTTGTACGCCTTATTATCAAAGAAGAGTATTGATTGCAATAATTAGCAGAATAACAACACGAAAGCTTCATCATGAAATACCTTGGCATCCTTGCTATCCCCTCCATCTTGGCCGCTGCCAACCCCCTTTCCCCCCGTCAAGAGGAGGGGCAAGTAGCGCTCGACGCTGACAAGCTCTTGAACCTCCGTGCCAGCTTCTGCCTCGACTACACTAAGCCAGAGTGTGAGGCCGCAATTCAAAGCTGCCAGGCCGACGAGTCCAGACTTGATGAAGACTGCATTCTGAACGAGTATCCGGATTGCATCGAGGACGAAACGTCGGCTTGCTCACAGGCTGCTGCGCAATGCCTCTCAGACTATGGAGAGGAAATAGACGCTGACCAGGCCGTCGAATCCTGCATCATCGAAGACGTATTCCCCGAGAGCGAGGAAGAGAAACAGCCCACCGAGGACGACGGCGACGACGGCGACGAGGGCATGTCCGACGAGATTGGCGACGAGGAAGAAGCCCCTAGCAGCTCAGTGAATCCGGAACAAGCTGCTGTATGTAAGAAGGCGAGCGCCGAGTACGAAGTGGTTATCCTCAATGAAGACTGCAAAGAGTTCAATGACGTGGAGGAAGGCGTGGATGAGATGAGCGAGTCGTCGGCTTGCGAGGCGGCGAGGGCCATCTTTGAAAAGACCTGGACGGAGAATGACTGCGACGCAACAATCCGTCCTCAGGAATAGAAGGATACACAACATTGGATTACAAACGTGGCGGGCTTGGACTGACAATCTATCTTGCTATAAACCAATCTCACAACTTGACACAATATTATTCTCGTTTCCATGTTGATAAACCATCCAACCTCGAGCTTTTCTTTTCTCTTTCGGACGCACATTATGTAAAAGAGCGAGAGTCCAAAAGTTGGGTGATGTCATGCGAGTATGACGCAACTCAACCTATGATTGATCCGCCTAGATCTACAATCTACACCACCAGTAAACGGCTACCCTGAATATTCAGAGCCAAGGCAAGCGGAACCAGGAGGGTGATGATGCCGGCCGGTCTAAGCCACAAGCATAGAGCGAAATGCGGAGAGGTGGCGTATTGTTCGTTTTCCTATTCGGGAACACGCCTTGTTCCAATTGGCTGCTTGATGATGCAATGCATGGCTGCTCGGATAAGCAAGCATTTGATAAAGGCGCATAATGCTTCCACCGCCGGCCCATTCTTTCCCGTGCAAGAACACGCTCACAACGAATAGACCAGTTTCGTGCCAGAGACTCTACCCTGTCGAAGGTCCTCGAGACCTGCAATCACACCCTCTAATCCTTGTCCTCCTCGGTTGACCGTCTCCTTGATGGGCTGCAGCTGCTTCTCCTCGAGCAGCTTCGCGCTCCGCTCCCAAAACGCCGCCGCAAAGGCCACATCCTCGGGCACCGCCGGAAACACGTGTCCGCCGCGCTCAAACGACTCGCCAAACGCCGTGTAGCCGAGCTGAAACCTGGCCTCCACCATTGGGTTCCTGTCCTGGAGCAGGTCCGCCGGCGCGAGCGCCTGCACCGTCGCGTAGATTGCCCCCCCCTTTTTGTCGAGCTCAGGGCCTGCGCGGCGACGTTTTGAAAATGCTCGCTGTGGATGCAGTCCCAGGCGAGGGTGAGGTCTTCCTCTGCGGTAACGGCCTTGATCTGGGCGACGAGGTCCGCGACGGGCGCGTGGTAGTCGAGGAGCACGTCGGCGCCCAGCGGCCGCAGGTAGTCAAAGTGGCGAGGCGATGCGGTGGCGAGCACGCGCAGGCCCGAGAGCTTGGCGTACTGGATGCCCAGCACGCCCGTCGCGGTGCTCCCGCCGCCAATCAGGATGGTCTGCGGCGGCTCGGCCGCTGCGGCTGGAGGAAGGGGCAGGTTCAGAAGCTGGTACAGAGCTTGGCCGCAGGTGGTGATGCCGACGCCGAGGGTGGCAGCCTGCTCGAAGCTAAGGTGGTCGGGAAACTTGACGACGACATGTTCCTTGGTCATTGTGTAGTCGCCAAAGGCGCCATGCTCGCGATCCTTGCTATGTTCCCCGGACATGTTAGCAAGTTCGCCAATGTATCGTGGGAAAAAAGTAGATTCCGCGATGAAGCTCTCAAAGTTTGTACTTACGCTCCAAAAGCTGCGCCGCACACTCTGTCGCCCTTTTGGAACCCCTTCTTTACATCAGGCCCAACTTCTTCAATGGTGCCAGCAAAATCGACGCCCAGACGGGTTCCTGCAGCGAACCCAGACGGGTCATCTATGGCCTTCCAATCAGTCGGGTTGAGTGCCACAGCCTTTGTCTTTACAAGGACTTGGCCGGGCGGCAACTTTTGCTTGGGCATTGGCTGAATGTCGAGCTTGCCAGCAGCGGTACAAATAATAGCCCTCGACTCCGCCATGATTATTTTTGTATACGTGTCTTTGATTGATGCAGACTCTGTGAGCGGAAAGAACAAAAAAAAACGAAACAATGCGCAACAATCAACTTGCTCTCTACATCTCGTTTCAAGAGTCGTATGGCGTGATGATGTTGCGTGAGACTGTGGGGCCGGAGCTATGGTACATATTGGTCGATGGCCGGCGCAGCTCAGTAATCGAGAGACGACGTATTTCGTAGAGATCCGTTGCGTGGTTCGAGCACCGCCGGAGCGAATCGGTGTCTTACTCCGCTGAGTGACGCCAGCCGCCGCCTCCGCACAATCCCAATACGGCCCTGGTCGGACATTCGGAGGACATGCAGGCGGAAGGCGGGGATGTGGGCCCCGTTGCCTTCGGAGCCGAGTCTTTTGACAGCTGACAACCAGACCTCGTTCAGATCAACGGGCTTAAGGAGGCAAAACGTTTCTTCCCGGTAGAAATGATTGGGCGTAGGTTTCGTTTCCGTCTCATCATGGGCCGGTGAGACTATTTCGGCTGACAGCCCTCCGCGACCCTGGTCGGTTGCGTGTACTTGTCCGGACTCGTCTTCAGCTTGCGTGAAAGCGAGGCCCCCAAAGCCTCCGGATAGTGGGATGAGCAATCTCCGCTGCTTCATCGTATCCACGATTGCTGCCGGTGTGCAGGGCCTGATCCTCTCATTCCTCGGAGCTACTACACATGCATGCTGGTCGGTACCGTGTTCCTCGGCTCCGTCGCCCTAATCTCCATTTTGCAGGGGTGAAGTGCGTGAAAGTACCTCGAAACGATCGACGCCATTATTCTCAATGCTTACGGCATCTCAATTTTTGGTGCTGCAATTGTCCTGGCAGCCGGGCTTCTTCTGAGAGGACAATCTAAAAATGGCCTGAAGAGCGACCGCGCCAGGTTCGGCAATCATGCAGCGACGGCGACAGCGGGTAAGTTTTACGTGTGCGTATAAAATATTCAGTTCCTTAGTGCCATAATGCAATATCAAACAATTTTCCATCATCTCAACGACAGACAGGCTAGGAAAGTCCCTATGCTTTGCTTTGTACCTCCCGTCTACGCATCGCTAAACCACCGCACGTCTTTAGACGCATGCTTTTTTTCCTTCTTTGACGAAGCTTCACACAGAAGTGGTTGCTTCGTCCGGGAAGCGAATTTCACGCCTCGCCGAGGGCGTAGCCTCGGTGACCGCGCCCTGCGGCATGTCGACTTCAGATTCGGTGTCCCTAGCTTGCTCGCGCACCGAGTGCGTTCGGCTGCTCGAATAGGCTCGTGTTGTACTGTCACGGCGGGGGTTGTCATCCTTGATGCGGCGACCAAATCCAGGAAAAACTTGTCTACCACTGTAGTTTGAGTCGCTGACATCGCCACTCAGAGCTCGACTGAGGGTTCGGGGGGCCAGGGAGCCAAGCTTTCCAAGTGGGATGGAGAGACCGTGAACCACGACGCTGGCTACAACCATGAACCAAACCACAACAGTCGTGGTATCACGAAGGTGCTTGACATCGTTTCGAGGAACGCCATCCTCATCGCTCAGATGTCTGCCGATGAACTCATGGGTGATGTACAAGTAGAAAATTGCCGAGACTCCGATGGGACCAAAGAAGCCAACGAAAATGGCATTTTGGTGGCTGTCAATTTGGTGAATCCAGTGGTGCATGCCATAGATCCATGGAAGACGGCGAAGCAATAAGATGAGAAGACCGAGCGGAATCACACGGGAGAGCGTAGTGAAGTCATTGTGAGCGATGAGATCCCAGGGAATGACAGCGCCATACCACAGGAAAATGGTGACATTGAGCAGCATGTCAACAGTTGGCTGAAGCGAGTCATCCTTGGTCTCCTGCCGAAACCAGTCATCCCACGTAAACGCATTACCAGCAACGAAACAGGCCAAGACGTCATCAGTTCCAATGAGACCGCAGGTGCCAAGAACAAATAGGCCAAGCGCTATGGCAAAAACGAGAAAACTCTCGCGATCAACCCAGCCGCGGTCCTCTGCCCAGTGGAGCAGATACTGACCGAGCAAACCTACGACGGCACCGTAGGCGATGCTCATGAGGATGACATAGGCCCACGTCAGCGCGAACCAGAGACCAAATGCCTGACCGGCACCACCGGCATTAGGGTCCGCGTCGGCTCCTATGTACTTGATGAGGTAGAGGGCGAAGAACAACCATGGGTAACCGAGGCCGTCGTTTGTGCCAGACTCGGCGACGATGAGATCCTGCAGCTCCTTGGGGATGTTCTTGTCGGCGAATTTGCCCTTGACAATGACGGCGGAGAGAACTGGATCAGTCGGTGTGACGCAAGCACCAACGGCCAGGGCATGGAGGAAGCTTGGCGTGCCGAGCAGACCCCAGACGAGTAGGCTGGTGGCCACCCACATCATGGCCATGCCAGGACCTACGAGGAGGAAGACCGACTTTTTCTCGAGCCACATGTACTTGCTACGGAGCTGTACACCAGCAAGGACCAGTTGAACGGCGAGAACCAGCCGGGAGAAGTCGAGGGTGATGGCGTCGACATTGGCGGCACACTGACTCTCAGAGAGGTTGTTCTGAGAGCAGCCAGCATACTCATGGGGGCGTATGAAATGCGCACCTTTGGGGCCAAAGGCGACACCTACGACCATGGCAATGACTGTGATTTTATATTGTTAGCTCGTGTTGCTATCTTCAGATTCCTTCCCCTCTGCTTGGCGATCGACCTTGGCAGTGGAGAGAGGGGCCGAAAAAACGGGCTGCGCCAAGATCGACTTACGGGCTTCCGAGAGATAAAAGTGCTCCTTGAGCAAGTACGATACCAGTCCAAAAAGTGAAATGAAGCCTCCGAGTAGGGCCGTGGCGACATTAAAGTTGGTCGAGGCGATGGGCGCCGCCCAGATGGGAGTGATGACTCTCGCCATGTCGTGTAGCGTTTGCACCCCGTTGAATGGTTCGGGACCCTTGTTGCTCCCTGCTATGCTGACAGGAAAAGGTTTCGAGATGTGGTATCGGATGATATGGAAAAGGGTTGCCTCTTCAAGTGACGGGTTTCAGCCGCCCACGAGCTACTGTTAGCAACGCTGAGCAGGAGCAACAAGGACAAGTACGGGAGCTGCCGGAATCAGGCTAATCATGTCGCGGTGCCAAGAGCCGAGCATAGGTGCAACCTGTTATGAGACGAGCGGCGGGCCAGCGACTTGGCAGAGAGGGGTTTCTGATTCTTGAACGAGGATAAATGAGGGAAATTTCTCCTGTGAGAGCCGCCTTTAATTTTGGTGGGTGTGTGTATCGTTGTGGAAGATGGAGGTAGGAGGTGCAGGAAGAGGGCTGCAACAGCGGTTGCGTTTCCGCTTGTCTATCGGTAGTGGGCCGAGCTATCGTCGTCATCCACTGCCAGATGCCAGATGCCAGATGCCAGATGTCCAACTAACCAGATTTAGCTACGAATTGTTTAAATCATCAACTACTCCGTATCAGTTGCTGCTTCAATCCTTCAACCGTTCCAATTAAATGTGAGACCTAGCAAAGGTTTGAAGCCGGCTATTCCCATTGAGTAGGGCTGATCCTAGTGGTGCTTTTTTTTTTTTTTGAGACATGCAGGGCACAAACTGTTCGGTCATAAGACTTAGTAAACACGGCCTGCACGAATCGTATGTACGCCTAGTATCTGTATACGGAGCAGCGGAGGCGCCTTGAAAATAATTAATTGCGTCACGCTAGACTAGGGTTGTATAAGATATAGCGAGGCTTTAGCCTCTCACAACTCTCTAGATAACCTGCATCCCTGACGGCAAACCTGATGTTATTGCCATTGGTTTTCTTTTTCAATAATAAGTAGACTCTTTATCTCTTTGCTTCTGTCAGTTAGGCTTCACCTACAAATTCATCTCGGGCCTCGACGCTATTGTCCGGATACTGCACGGATACTTGCGAATAACATATAGATACCCGCTGATACCTATTCATACCTATGCAGCAATACGCGCGCATGTCTTATTGGCTCTTGAGCAGCACCTCGCAGAGACTTGCATCCCTGCATCCATGCATCTGCAATAGTTGCATCTCCGGCCTACCAATCATGCTCTAGGACCCCTAGCTCTTCCCCCATCTCGCTGCATAGTAGATCGGTCCAGGCCCGCGTGCCTCGAACGATTTTCATTTCTCATCAATGATTTCTTTCCTTCTTCCTTTTATACAACGAGTCTGGGCTGCTGCTCTTCCTCTTCCATACAATTGGCGGCAGCTCCATCTGCTAGCTACGGAGACGCAGGTAGGAATTGCTACCGTGCAAGATGTGAAATGTCGAGAGCTTCGCATTTACTACTACACCCCAAACTGGCTCTTACAATCAATCATGAGCAATCAATCTCGGACGAAAACAAGCTTCAAGCCTCAACTTCTGCCTAGAAGAAAGCTGTCGAAATAAAAGTTTGGCTTAATCTCACTGGCATCCTCCATGCTAAGCAGGCGCATTATGCGCAATTCCTCGCCTTGACAAATATTTCCCTAAACAGAAATTCTTTGGATAACTAAATCCAGAATCATCAAATTTCCCGCCCCGGCGACACCATCCTCTTGTGTGCGCAGTCCAACTCACATCCGGCTCTTCCTCTACACCTCGCAACCCACACCACACAATCCTCACACGTTTCTTTTTCTACATCTTTGCGCCTCGCACGGCCAGGGCATCTGCCGCCTGGTTTCCTCTGTCGGACGCGTGCCCCTTGACCCACTCGAACTGCGTCGCGCCGCCCGCCTTGCCGCGCTCCTCCATGCGCGCCAGTACCGCCCGGATAATGTCCTGATTCTTGACCGGTTCGCCCTGCGCCGTCACCCACCCTTTGCGCTTCCAGCTCGCCGCCCACTGCGTCACGCAGTTGATCGAGTACTGGCTGTCGCTGACAATCTGCACCGTCGCCCCCGCCGGGCACGTCTGCAGCGCCCGCAGCATCGCCATCAGCTCCGCCCGCTGGTTCGTCTGCGGCTCGCCCTCGAGCCGCTCCGAGAGGTTGCGCTCGTCTCCCGGCCCGAAAAAGACGCCCACGCCCGCACGCGCCCCGGCTTTGCCATTGGCCAGGCTGCTGCCGTCCGTGTACACACGGATAAGACCCGCCGGTGCTTGGGGCAAGGCTAGCGGCGGCGGTACCCTCGTCGTCTTAGTCGGCTTCTTTACTTGCGTCGGCATGTCAATCTTCGTGCCGCCGGTTGTTGCGCCCGTAAGCCGCTCGCCAAGCGCCATGACAGCTTCCATGCTCCCATACTCTCGAATATAGTCGACTGCTTCGGCGCGGCTGCTGAACCGCTTGTACTTTGGTCCCTTGACACCCTTGATGGCTTCCGCCGCATCATCCCACTCGTTGAAGATGCCTGTTGGGTTTCCCACCGCTACAGCGTAGTACTTGGCTGGTCCTTCTGACGTGGTTGCGACCTTTTGACCAGCCGCAAATGCTTCAGCATCTGACCTTGAAATGAATGATCGAACTGTAAGAAGCCAATGGCGACCGCATTAGTTAGCGCCCACGAAATTATGCAACACGGTACAGTAAAAACGTCTCTCAACGTACACAGTGCTCCTTTAAATCCTGCCGTCTGTTGCGCGCACTCGGCATAGGTTGTGTAGACGCCCGGCCGGAAGCCGACCTGCACGGCGTAAAACTTTTGTACATTGTCCGTTTTCCTCTTCTTGGAGGCACTCGGTGAGGCCGTGGACGAAGCCGTCACGGCTGACGAGGGCGCTGCGCGCTTTCTGTTCATCATCGAGGGCGGGAACGAGAGCGGCGGGGGGTACCGGAGCGTCGCAGTCGTAGTGGCAATAGCTCGTCGTCTAGGCGTCACAATGGGTGCGGGAGACAAAATGCTCAGATATATCGACGTCGTATTTCGGCGTCGTAGGCAGGTAAGAAGTTGCGAAACGTATCGTGATGGCCGGTAGGAGCGACAAAGGGAGGTTTGCATTGATTGCTGGTGCAAAGACTAACGTTGGAAAGGGTGGTGCTGATACCGTAAAAAAGGGCAAATGACTACACAACTGCCATGATTCTTGAAACGGCGATGAAATAGCGATCGTGCTCTTCCCGTGGGATAGCGGCCCAGTCGTCTGAGGTAGGCAACTTGCTCAAAGCGCAGAAATTGTTCAATCCCAAATCAACAGTCTGGGTGGGGTGCTGGATTCTTTAGAAACGCGAAAGCCTGGTAGGTATGGGCCTGTCTTGGCTATAAAGTGGCGGTAGCTCGAGGCGCCCCCGCGCTAGTGCCGGACGCCCGACTTGCCAACACCATCATTACCTGTTGCCGACCATTTCGCCCTGTTCTTGCTAGCAGCTTCACGTCTTCATCTTGAACATGAAACTACTTTGGGCGCAGCAAACATTAATAGAATACTAGGTTGCAGTAATATGACTCTGTGTCTTTCATTATAATGTACAAGGTGTGTAGCTCCAGCAATTCTCAATCTTTCCTTTTGCGCCAAGAAACTTGTCACTGCCCAGCGCCAATGATATGCATCGCGCGCGACAGAACCTTCAGGCCCCTCCAGTGACAACAAACCCATCTGCTGGTAGCTCTCCTTGATCCAGCAGAGATAAGATCTTTCGAAGCTGCAACATGTAAGAATGGTGTATACAGTTGGGTTTGCAGCAGTAAGCGTAGCAATAGCAATATGTACGGTTTGCATAGCTGCCGTGTCCTTCAAACAGAGCCAACGAGTCTGAAATTGACCCAGGAGGCGGTAATCCTAAACATGAGTGGTCGGGTCCAAAGTCACCAGGTCAAAATTAGCATCTTGCTCCAGCTCCCAGGCCAGCAAGCTCCAATTGAGCTCTCGCCTCCAGAAGAGACCCAACCCTCTTCCGCCTCCGTCAGGACGATCGTCTGAACTCAAGCCGCCAGTTCGCGGCATGTGGTTACAAAATACCACTTTGCCCATTCTGGCGTGAAGAATAGCCATTGAACATGCTACACAAGGTTCATGCGTCATGTAAAGTTCCAGCCCATGGCACAAATAGCCATCCTTGTTTGGGTGTTCCTGCTCGAAGCACTTCTTCTCCGCATCGAGAATCGGTACGTCGTGGAAAGCGTCAAATTCGAGTATTGGAAGGTCAAGAGTCAGACCCATTGCTCTCCTCTCATGACGTACGAGTTTCTGCGCAACCATGCTGATAACACGAAGAACGCAGTGTGCCATAGGGTTGCCAACATCTCCCAGCAAAGGATCCTGACGCCAGCGCGCATCACCTGCCACTGCAACTAGCTGGGCACCGTTCTCGTCTCTCTGCACAACGACAGCTCCGATGGCTTCTCCCATCCCACAACCCCTGGCTTCGTCTGCCACGCGCTGGGCCAAAGTCATCCACATAGCCGCATCATCCTTGATTTCGTCGGTTCCTCTGGCCACCATGCTAGGATGAGGTCCCAAAGGGTTGTTTTTGCGATACACTGTTGGCCAGAACTGCGAGGACCACATGGCAGCTTGAATCTGTGAAGTTGGGGCGACAAGTGGAACTGGGACGGTGGAAATCCAGATCTCGAGTCCGGCGAGGGATTCGACAGAGGCGAGTGTTAACGCGAGCTCTTCTTCTGTGATATCCGACACCTCACAGCACATGATGTAGAGCCACTGTGATTTTGCGAAATGAACGTGCCGGCCTTCGGGGGTTTCGTTCATAAACTTCGTCTTCAGATGGGCAGGCAAGTCCGCAGGCTTTGCGCATCCTCGCAGATGGGGTAGGGGGTTAGCGCTACCACTGGGCCGCATAAGGCGCAATGCACTTGTATCAGAGTTAGCTTCCGAATGCCAGGATATCAGTTGAACAGAAGAACAACTCACGTAATGACGTCGGCGGCAGACTTTGACGGGACTCTTGTGATGAAAGCCTGTATGATTGTGTGGTCTTGCCGCACTTCCTGTGTGGTTTTGAGAGGAATCAGAACGCCGTTCTTGTGTTGCAGTGATTTGATATCATCAATCAAGGGGTTCGGCAACACGCCAGCGGTAAACTGGGATGCCGGTACATCGGCCACTGAAGCATTGTGCTCGAAATCTTGATCCATATCGAGCCCGTTCATGTTGAAGGTCTTTTGTGACGGTTTGAGACTGTCGATTGCTTAGAGACACCACTGCAATAGCCCGGGAAAACTTTGAATTCTCGACGGCGATGCAGCTGATGATGGGTATCCTTGGTCGGGCAGATATCGTGTGACTCGGGTAATCTCTATCTGCGCGAGCGATCTAGGGGGTGCTGTTTTTATAGCAGTCTGGGCTCCTTTCCGTTGCCGGCGTACCGGTTCGTTCTGCTGCAGCTGCGGCTGCGGCATATGAGTAGAACAGCAGTGTAACTGGAAGGAGTGCTCCTGATGGAGCCTGGCGGTATGTAGTGCTCTCGGAGCCGCTGTCCGGGCGACAAGTGATATGCTCGCTGCTTCGCGACCGAATCCCAGAGTATCAAATGGTGATGGGCGAGTGGGATGATGCAGGAGGGACAATTGATGCTGTGTTTGTGTCTGTGCCAGAGGCTACCTCTTGTGCTACAAACAGAATTTTTCCGCAGGCAGGTGCCCGGCAACAATACGAAAGGAAGTGCCAGCGCTACAGGTAGATGAGTCCGCTCGAGATCTTTATCATCCTATTTTCGATATCTGATCAAGTATGGAAAACCCGATGATATTGCTTGTTAAACTGTTCACTAAACCAAAATTTGTTGTTTTGACAGGCAATTTTGTGGAGCTGGCAGCGATCCACGATGCTCTGCATTCAAGAGGCTTGCTACTGCACAATGAGCGCGTCAAGGAAAGCTGCTCAGAAATGTGTTCTGTCATCTGCGTGAGAACTTCGCTTATCTTCTAGTGCATTTCTTTAAAAGACTTGTTCTTTTTTTCCTGTCGCGTCTCTTTGGTTGATTAGGCTGGTTCATCTTGGTTTTGTTTTGGTTTGTCTCAGGTCCGTGGGCTGCAGCCATCGGCTGTTGGGCCATCGTTGGCTACCCGGCAGAAGACATGCGATTCTAGCGGGGCGCTTCGACCGTTGATATAACGGAGTTTGCGATCAAGATGGTCGAGTAGCCACTGAAGGCTCCAGTCAGATCTGATGGTCAATTTACTGTTTCTGTACCCCTATTCTGGTGTGATTTTGTGACTTTGTGGTTCGAGGACGCTTCACGTAACATTTGCGCATGTAAAATGCAAAATGCCTTACATGATGATTCATTATCGAGTGACTCTGAATTCGAGGAGAGGTAAAAAAAAAAAAAAACAATGATAAAGAGCGTGTGGCCAGTTCAAAGTAACAAACCAAGAATGCGATAGTCTGTTGCCCCGATAGAGTGCACATCAACCGTGATCTGACTTCTGGATGGTGTGTTACCTAATTATAGAGCCCACGTTGCTATACGAATGGTAGGGAGAGAAGGAGAGTATGGTGATACAGCCTCTCGCACAAAGCAACAGTTCGCTCCGAGTAATTTGGCTGCACTGCGCCACGAGTATCTGCCGCGAGTTTTGCTGGTACAAAACAAGTTTGCGAAGGGTCTGACCGTGTTTCGCACTCGCAGCGCGCATGACAGGGACCACACAACAACAATTTAAGCATAGAATCAATCATGTCTTATAATGAGACGCACGGGCGGGAGCTACCGACCTCCCGGGATAGTTGACCTGATAAGTTTGTTGGGGAATGACGGGTGTTTCAGTCAAAAGGGGCAAAGAAGCTTGAAGTCTGGACGCAGCCCGGCTCAAGAAGAAGATTGTATCTTTGTCGGCAAATAATGATCACTGCAAATCAAGTTGAGCCTACTCCGTACATTGTGACGGCTAGGGAAGCTTGGGCAATGTGGCTTAGATGCGTGCGTCCTTTACCCAAGGCTGCAGATACTGAGATGGTATCCGTAAATTCTGATGAGTTGGGTGGCAGGCCGCAGCTAAAGAGCTGAGAGTGACAAATACCAAAGTACAAAATGCAGCGTTTGACAATGACTGGATGAGGGAGCTTCTGGAAACGCCCAAATTCCCCGAATATTGCTTGTAACTTGGCGAAGCGACGTATTTTCTCCGTATTGAGGAAGACACTGACTCCACTGATAAGACATCTGGGCGTGGGCATGGCTTAGTATTGTTATGGAAAGAGCAGTTGGAGTCGTTATCTCTGAGCAATAGAGTGCTAGGGCGACGCCATTCACTGGATTGGGATGGACCCTTTTCTGGTGCATTTTGGAGCAGCATGCGGAGTAACTAACAGTCTAACACCAGGAGGAACTCGCATTACAGACGCTGCAGCCAACCATGTCGCCTGTCCGCTACTGCAAAACTGCGGAGCAAACTCTCCCCCTCACCACCAAGTCGACTCCAACTTCCAAGTCCCAAGTCAGGGTTGGAGAAGAGCGCCACAAGCCAGCAAGATGGAACATGCAAGTCTCCCGCCATGGTGGACTAATTATGATAAAGTTTCCAAGATTATTTGGGGGGGTTTAACACCGAGATTGGTCCCCTGAAGCCGCCTTCTTTTGTCTTCTGTAATAAGATACATATTCCACTTTCAAAGACTGCCAGCCTGGAGTGGCAGCGAAGCGCTGTCTGAAGAACGCATGTGATGCGTTTGTGTGTGTGTGTGTACACTGTATCTTGACAGGTTATTGATTGCGGAGGACAGCTGGCGGGATCGCTGGCGTTACGCGTCTTGCATGCGAGACATGAGACTGGGCCTGTTTACTGTATTCGCATGCGGGCAGGAAAAGGTGGGTTGGCAGCTGCGAGTATTCACAGATGGAATAAGAATAGAAGCGAGCATGAGTTGATGTGGGCTATGGCTGAGGCATGTATTACTACGGCAAGTACTGTTTGGAGGCGGTAGTCTGACACGGGAAGATCATTCTGATACATACGGGCAGATCGTCCAAGCATTCAACGCTGATGATATGGGCGTTCTGTTAGCAGAAGGGTGCGCCGCCGCACGCGTGGCTCGGGTCAATGCGCCGAGTGGCTTGTGCAGGCTGGGCAAGCGAAACAAGTAACAGGAAAGCTTTCTTTTGAATGGGGTCATGAATAGACTTGTGCAACCAAGTAATGGTGGTGGTGGCGGCTCAAGCAACAAGTAAGCTTGTCTATGTGCCGCCCCAAATGTCTGTCTGGCGGCGGGCGTTGTTAGCGCTGGTTGGCAGCGACATTTGTTATTACTCGAGGCCCTCCCGACCAACTACGGGGACAGGTTGAGATATTTTTATTCTGGACAAGATGTATTCCGGAGCTTTCGATTCTTAGCCTCTGTTTCAATTTCGGACCGTTTCCCCTATTCTTGCCTCGTCAACATCTCCCTCGATCTCGCCTCTTTTGCTGATCCTTCATCTTTGGTATCTGGTGTTTCAGTGCCGTCACACGTCATACTGCATAGTCTGTTTAGTGCGCTTGGCAGACGACTGATTGACTCAGGTTTTTATGGTTTTTGCCTGGAAGGTAATTACCTACAGAAGGAATAAAACCCCGACAACGTCACGAGCTGACTGCTGCACTTGGGGACAGGCCACCATTTTCTTTCTCTATTTTTGCCACGCAAACCACCGGGTCCTTCCTGCTAGCAAAAGAGAAATTCTTTCAAGACAGAATCAATTTGCTCTTGGAGAGCGCACACAAGACGCAGGGCCGCCTCCGCCCGTTCCATTTAGAGTCAGCGCCCCGATTCGGCCATTCGAGTTGGCCTGAAAGAGGTCCCCCAAAAGTGCCCCCACCCAGTTGCCGCCAGTCACTGCTGAGGACCTTTTTCCCACAAGCCGATTTCGCAGCTGGCTTGCTTCTCAAAGAGACCTGGCTTGGGCGCCTTTTGTCGGCCTTGCAGCGACCACAGCTACTCAAGGTAAAGAAACAAAGACCAGCGACCAGCGACCAGCGACCAGCGACCAGCTGTAGCTTTCGCTGCTGCTTGGCCAGAAGCCGCCAGCCGCTAAATTCTTTGCGAGCCGTCCGCTGAATCCACTGGAATCCCGTTCTTCTCGGTGCTTTCGGGGTTCCCTACCTTACACCGGCCACCCACCTTTTTTTAATTTCTCTCTCTTTTTTTGTTCTGGGCTCCCGACAGTGCGCCACCCCAGATGCCTTCAGCAGTGCCGGTTGCCCAAGCTGGTGTGTAATCAACCTCCTTTGTCCTACTCCATTCTTGCTCCTACCGAATCTCTCTTCTTCATACATTTTGCTCTTCTTCACGCGATTCTACCTCTGCATTTCTATTGACAGCTTTTCTTACCTTCTTCTACATCACAGACTCTGGTCGCCGATCCGGACAACAGTCAACCTTGGCCAAGCTTGCGATGAACAACCAGCTCAGCTCTTCGCCACCAAACTCGCTCTCGCCGACCATTTCCTGCCACGAGCAGCAGCTTGCTGTCCAGCAGCTCAGCAACGATGCATCTCTCGCCCAACCTCTCGCCCCTACCTCGGCGCCCTCCTCTGCCATGGCCACAATCCTGCGCGCTACCAATGACCTGACTGAGACGCCACCTTTCCCGCGCAGCGTTGGGTCGACCGCCCCCAGCTCTCCCAGGATGTGAGTCGCCCCGATGCATTGATGCCCTGTGACGTCAAATCCGTTGTCGCATTCACCTCGAATCTCCAATCATCGCTTTCAATACTGAATTATCAGGTGCTAACAATGCGCGCAGCCCTCCCCATCGCCAAAATTCCGGACACCAAACGCCTCGAGTCCGCCCTCATGCCACCACCCTAAACATCCCGGGCATGACAAGATCCCGCGTCTCTCCCGATGGTCGAATTCCGCAGCGCGATGTCGCCGCCAAGCTTGTCATCATCATGGTCGGCCTTCCCGCCCGTGGCAAGTCTTATATTACCAAGAAGCTCCAGCGATACCTGTCGTGGCAACAGCACGAGTCCAGAATATTCAACGTCGGCAACAGGCGGCGCAATGCCGCTGGAATTCGCGTCTCGGTGCAGCCAAAGCTCAGCCCAGAGCCCCCGCGTCTCGACGGACCCGTCCACGCCGCCTCGATTCTCCTCAACGGCCATCCTGCGCCAATGCCCATGACTGGCGCCAACGACACGCCCACCGATTTGGACCTGAATAAAGCCGATGATCAAATGGACCAATCTGCCAAGTTTTTTGACCCCAAGAACGAAAAGGCAGCTGCGATGCGCGAGCAAGTCGCCATGGATACCCTCGACGAGCTGCTAGATTACCTTCTCATCCAAGGTGGCTCCGTCGGCATCTTTGACGCCACCAATAGTACCATTGCTCGCAGACAACACATCGTCAACCGTATCAGAGATCGGGAGCCCAAGCTTGGAATTCTCTTCATTGAGAGTATCTGCAGAGACCCGCTTATTTTGGAAGCCAATATGCGACTCAAGCTGTCCGGCCCCGATTACCGCGACAAGGACCCCACAAAGTCACTCGAAGACTTTAAGAATCGTGTCGCTGCTTACGAGAGCGCTTACGTCCCACTTGGAGAGTATGAAGAAGAAAACGACATGCAGTACATTCAAATGGTTGATGTGGGCCGAAAACTTGTCCAGCACAGACTAAAGGGCTTCTTGAGCGGCGGCATCAGCACCTACTTGTCGAGCTTCAACTTGGCACCTCGACAAATCTGGATGACGCGGCACGGCCAGAGCGTCGACAACGAACTCGGCAATCTTGGCGGCGATTCGCCACTGACTGAACGCGGTCACTGCTATGGCGAGTCTCTCTACCGCTTCATCACCCAGAAGCGCAAGGAGTGGATCATGGAGCAAAAGAGCAAGATGGCGCAGGCCACATTCCCGCCGCTCCCTGGCGACAACACGCCGCCATATCCAGACATGAACAGGGAGCTGGACGAGAAGAACTTTTGTGTGTGGACGTCTATGCTCCAGCGCAGTGCCGAAACTGCCGAGTATTTTGAAGCCGATGACGATTACGACGTGAAGAACTGGGAGATGCTCAACGAGCTGAATACTGGCCAGTTTGAGGGCATGACCTATCAAGAAATTGCCACAAAACATCCTGAAGAGTTCCACAAGCGCTCCGAGGACAAGCTCAACTACATCTATCCCGGTGTCGGCGGCGAAGGCTACCTACAGGTTATCAGCCGTCTCCGCGACATGGTGCGCGAGATTGAGCGCATCACCGACCACGTCCTCATCATCGGCCACCGCTCCGTCTGCCGCGTCCTAATGGCCTACTTTATGGACCTGACGCGCGACGACATCACCGACATGGACGTGCCTCTTGGAATGCTCTACTCCATTGAACCCAAGCCCTATGGCATCGCCTTTCACGCCTACAAGTACAACGAGGAGCAGGGCTGGTTCGACGAGCTCCCTCACTACAGGCCTCAAAAGGCGGCCCGCGGCACTGTCTAGGAGAAGTGACACGCGGCCGCGACGACGGCTGTGCTTTCGCGACGTGTAAAACAGATGGACCCCGGACAGATCGGGATCAAATTATCAAGGCGTTTTATTGTTTTTTTTCTGCTGGGATGGGGAGTTGCGTTTTGTTTTAGAAGATTGGGCGGCGGACATCACAGCAAGTCTTTCACAAGCAACGCTGCACAGCAACAGAAGAGAAAGGGAACCACCAGGAAAAAGACCTTGCAACGCCAAACGCCGCATGCGCAAACAAACACATCCAGCACTATGCGCTATACTCACAGCGGCTCTTTCATTCTCGCGACAGACATGGCGGGGACCTTCTCATACATTATGATACCAATGGCGTTGTTTGCTCTTCTTTTTGTTCCCTGATATCTCTCGCTGTGGATTAGACTTGTACGGTCGGCCCAGGGAAACCAGTACGGTTTTATTGTGGTTGTGTGTTTTTTTTTTCGATTGTTCGGTTTTTCTGCGTATGGATACGCTCCCGGGCACTCGATCAGCGGTTACTGATGACGATGATGATTGCGATGGTCTTGACGTCGCTGTTTTTTTTTTAGCACTTTTCATTTTAGCGAGACAATGTGTATTGTACGAATTGAAGTGTAATTAATCTCTTCTTTTTCAAAAAGTTCTTTTGGTCCGATCCTTTGCAATAAGGAGAAACAAGTCTTGCGTCCGCAGAAAAGACACATTGTGTACCTATTTCTCAATAGATTCAACTACTCGTTATGAACACCGAGACTAAAGAATCAAGTTCCTGATATTTTCTTCATACAAATAAAAACGCCATGCCATGCAAATGTTCCAAAACAACACGCGCGCAGGTCCAAATACAATCGTCCGTCCTGCACGATATCCCTCTTCCTTACCCCCCATCACTTTTGTCTCGACAAGATCATCTTTTCTCTCTCGCTCTGCCTCTTTTCAAACTGCTTCTTTGTGTGCTTGCGCTCGTTTTCCTCGCGGCGCTTGATAGACTTGATCTCGTCCTTTTTAATCTCCGTCGCCTTCTTGACCACCGTCGGGATGTGTCTGTGGCGAGCGATGCGCCGAATCTCGGGCATGTGACCGTAGCGCTGGACCAGGGCGTCGTTGTACTCGAGGGCCTGGCGCTGCCGGGCCGACTTGACGCCCTGACGGGCCGAGGCGTTGGCGCGCCACAGCCGCACGTTGCCGTCGTCGGAGCCCGTCAAGAGGTAGTTTGCGTCGGGCGTCCAGCGGGCGGCCATGACGCGCTGCATGCGCTTGGTGTGGTAAATGTCGCGGGAGTGGCCGCGGTCGCGGTGCCACAGGCGCACGGTGCGGTCCCAGGACGCGGTGACGAGCTCCTGGCCGGTGGGCGAGAACTCGACGTCCATGACGGCGGCGACGTGGTCCTTGAGCACGTTGAGGGCGCGGTCGAAGCGCCGCATGTCAAACAGGTACGCGTTGTGGTCCTCAGACGCTGTCGCCAGGTTGAAGGCCTCCATTGGCGACCACGCCACGCGGTTGCTGGCAAATGTGAGCACCGTCTTGGCGACGGCCGTCGCGGTGCGCAGGTCGTACAGCACAATGGAGCGGTCCGTCGCGCACGACGCCAGAATCGACGTCTCGACCTGGTTAAACGCAACGTCGGTGACGGTGTCGTTTGACGTCGGCCACCGCAGCACCTCGGGCGCCGCCGTGTGCCGCTCCAGGTCGTAAATCGAAATCTCGCTCGACGCGGCCGCAAACGCTGCCCGCGCACGGTGGTGCGACAGCGACGTGAACGCACCGGTGCCCATCCAGGATGAGATGGGCGCCGACTCGCTCGGCGTGTGGTACGGGTCAAACAGCTTGACCGTGCGGTCCGATCCGCACGTCAGCAGCTTCTGGTCGCGCGTCCACGCCATGCCCTTGACGATGTTGTCGTGCGCCGTTGTGTGCCATGCCTCCTCGCGGCTCGGCAGGTCCCAGACCTTGACCACGCCGTCGCCGCTGCCGCTCGCGAAGCGCTCCAGCGAGTTGGGGTCCTTGGCGATGGAGTACACGCCGTCCACGTGGCCCCGGCCCAGCTGTGCAACAAAAGGCGATGCATGCATACGCTCGAGCTTGACGGCGTTGACGGCGCGCTTGTACTCGCGCGCCCGCTCAAAGGGGTGCAGCGCTGAATCGAGGTTGCGGGACTGCTTCGATGCGTCGGAGCCGGGCGCCTGCTGCGAGGCCACCGAGCGGCTGATGGCCTTGATCTTCATGTCGGCGGTTGTGCAATCGTGTGCGACTTGTGATGTATCGAGCAGAGACTGTAGGAATCCGTTGCTTCTTTCGTCAATGCTATCACAAATGGTCGACTTGATGGTGATAATCTGCTATAAAAAGTCGGTCGTCGTCCAAACTTTTGGTGGTGGGGATATTTTTTTTCTTATCAGTCTTCCCAGCGACCCGATAAGCTTGTGCTGTGGCTTAGTCATTTTCCGCCACACCTGCTTGTGCTCTGTTGGCGCGCCCAGCGCAAATGCTGGGGCAAACCATCCTTTATATTGTCGCCTGCGATACGCGACAACCTTGACCTCCCTCGTGACACCCCCGTTGTGTGACTACGCGCTAATTCTTCATCACGAGTCGGAGTTAGCAAGATTTTCAACCTTGGCCACCAACACTTGCTACTCAATCGCACCAGCGCGCGTGCGCAAACCTCACGATGGACGGCATGAATTACGATCCAATGATGGTGGATGCAGAGGCGGAGCAGCCGCATGTGACGGTTCTGGCGGTACGAGACGAAGGCTTTCCCGATAGAAAGTGTCAAGTTGTGAAAGATTGTCTTTGCTAATGTCGGGCTGCTTCCTTCCCTACTTGCTAGGCCGATACCACAAAAGTCGAATTCGAACTATCGAGAACGAACCTGTCCTTTGCCAACTCGCTGCGGCGCGTCATCCAGGCCGAGGTGCCCACGGTGGCAATTGACCTCGTCGAAATTGAAATCAACACGTCGGTGCTGGCGGACGAGTTCATCGCGCACCGGCTGGGCCTGATCCCGCTCGACTCCAAAGACGTTGACGAGCTCAACTACTCGCGCGACTGCGATTGCGAGCAGTACTGTGAGCAGTGCAGCATCACGCTGACCCTGCACGCTAAATGTACTTCGGACGAGAATATGAAGGTTTACGCGCGCGACCTCATCGTGGACGGCCGCCACGCGACGTCGATTGGCACGCCTATAATTACGGACCCCGACGGCGTCGGCTGCCTGCTCGCCAAGCTGCGACGCGACCAGGAGCTGCGACTCAAGTGCGTCGCGAAAAAGGGCATCGCCAAGGAGCACGCCAAGTGGATGCCCACGTCGGCGGTCGGCTTTGAATACGACCCGCATAACAAGCTGCATCATCTCGACATGTGGTTTGAAAACGACACTAATCCCAAGGATGAATGGTACGCCGAGTTGGCCCTCAATCTCCCTCCGAGCACTCCATAATGATCACTAACATTGCATCTGCGAGATAGGCCTGTGAGCAAATACGGCGCGTGGGAGTCAGAGGAGCAAAAGAACGAGCCGTTCAACTACGACGCCAAGCCGGAGCGCTTCTACTTTGACGTCGAGACCTCGGGCGGCATGGAGCCTGACCAGATTGTGCAGAGCGGCATCCGCGTGCTACAGCAAAAGATTGGCGGCCTGCTCAAGGGCCTCGACCCGCGCAAGTACGGCGGCGAGGAGGCCGGCGGCGAGTTTGACGGCCCCCGCAGTCCGGACATGAACATGGAGGGCGGTACCACGCCGTGGCAGGATGGCGGCTACACGACGCCGTACGGAGGGGGGAACACGACGGCATATGGTGGTGGCGGCGGCGGCGGCACGGCGTACGGTGGCGGTCCTGGCTACGGGACGACGCCTTACGGGCAGTCGAGCTGGCAATAACGGATCAGAAGGATATTGTGTACAATCTTTTCGGCAGGATTGGGTCCGCAAAGGACCAAAAAAAGCTGGACATGGGCGTTTTTTTGTGTACTTTTTTCAAAGCTTTCTGGGGTACTTTTTCTTTTATTTTCTGTTCACAGTGACCGATTGATTTGTTTGGGATCATTTCGTTTGATTTAGAGCAGCGGGGTCAAGGGTGTGTGATGTATAGTAAAAATATAAATTACGAAAAAAGCATATAGCGAATAGAGGATGGTACTGGGAAAGCCTTGGTGGCTCTTTTCGCAGCAAGCCACTGAGTTTTCTGCTTTATTGAAAGTATATGGCGCTGGCTGACCCCATTGAGGGTTTTCAAGGTTTGACCCATTTAGCTCTCTTCTATATCTAAACCTGTTCCCAAACGCTTTCACACATTCATTCATCATGATCCCATTGCAGACCCTTGTAAAAGCTCGGCAATGGCCGAGATACAAGACTATTCAAATCATGCCCACCAGCCACATAGCTATATTCGATGAAGATGCGAGCTCATAATAATTCCACTTCGATTTGAGTACTTTGGGTCGCCAGTGTCACTCGATAGGAGATGGCCATCGCCAGCGGCACGCATTGCCTCAGCCAGAGTGCATTGGCCGGTATGCACAAAACCAAGACGCTCATACATTTGCACGATTGTCTGATTATCCGGCTTCACCATGAGTCGTACATGAATTGTGCGCGGGCATGGCTGGCGCCGTTGAAGGTGGTTCAGCGCCTCTCGGCACAGTCTGCTGCCGCGGCCGCCGCCCCGATGCGCCGGCAGAAGAAAGAGCCCAAGCAACTGCCACCGCTCTTCGTCATCCGAGTTGATCGCACCCTGACCAGCCTCTTTTGGCAGTGAGAATTCACTGGCTGACATGGGGCCTCGAAGAGTAACCTGGCCAACCCAATCGCCGATGCTGGGTGCATGTTGTTCGCCCGCTGCCTTTGCGACGCAAATAAAGGTTTCGCGGTCGGGTGCTGACAGGCGCTGTATCCAGTCGTCGTTTGAAAAGGCGGCCTCTGTTTCATATGTCGAACTGAACGACTCGGGGGACGATTCAAGGCCCTGCAGGCGCAAATGCCGATATTTCTGCGCCGACGATTCTAGTGCATCCGTCTTGGAAACGCGAATATACGTGTAGCTAGGCTCAGACATTATGACTAGAAATGTTGCCGTAGGAGATGGGAAGGATTGAAATGGTCATCGTATCAACTCCATGCTAAATTGAAATTTATCTTGTTTGAATATTCTTGCATTACAAATGCGAAAAAGGAGCTTCGCGGCAACTTGCAAAGTTGCCGCACAGCAGCTAAAAGCGAGTGGGGTCGATGACACGGCGCTTCGGCAAGATTTATTTTCGCCGGTGAATCTTCGCAGTCACAAGCCGCCCTCCTCTTACAACTTACACAACCGGGAAGCTGTTCCTCTCCATCGGATTGGACGAAAACAAAGGCAGGCTCATTAACTGTTTTGTGCGGCGGGAACTCGGCGCCATGCCACCCAATAGAGCAAAAGAGCGGCCGCCGTCCGAGACGTCCCGGACGTACAGCCAGAGACCTCGCCAGGCACAGCCGGCCAAGAAATCAGTTGCGTGGGTGTTTTATTGATGCATCACTGTAGTAAGTAGGTGCTAATTTGGATTGCCAGGTGCTCCAGATGCCATGAGAAAAAGATGAAGTGTTCCGGAGAGACACCTTGTGCTCGCTGTAAAGCCGCTGGGCATTTTGACTCGTGCCGATATGTCGCCCGTGACCGAAAGATCCGCGTAGACGAGAGGTAATTGATCAAACTCCTTTTTTTCATAAAGGGAGACTAGGACCCTAACCTGGACATAGCTATTTCGAACAGCTTGTAAACGACAGCCAAGAGCTTCACAGGCAGCGGAGGAACCGCATTGCGGCCCCCAGCACTCAAAGCTCATACTCTACGGAAAGGCTGTATCCGCAAAATGCCACGACTGCAGGACCTTCACTTCCCATTCATATAGGCGAAACAGCTTGTACTGCATTTGCTACTAGGATCTCCCAGTGTCTCAATGGTCCCGACATGGCGACATGTCCTCTCCGCTGGGATTACGTCGATGAGTCCCAGTTGGCTAGTCTGCTAGACAATCCCGTCGAATGGCCCAGTCCGGTACATGCACGGCTGCTCTTGCAGACAGTATTCACCAACATCTGCCCAGCGTTTCACCTGGCGCAGAGGAAGGATACATATGCGATGCTCAGTCATGTCTATCAGAGAAGGAAATTCCACGACGCAGCAATTCAAGCCAAGTATTTTGCTCTTTTTGCGCTGGGAAAGGCATACTTCACGTTACCCAGCCCAGATGCAGGTTGTACACCCGCGCCAGGGTCGGCCTACTTTGTCAAGGCTTTGAGCCTCGTACAGCTGGCCCCGGAGAGGCCGACGATGATGCACTTGGAGACGATTCTTGCTCTGGTATGTCTTCTTTCTTTTTGCATTCTTTACGCCCGAGGTGATTTTGATTCTGATAAAACCCTTAGGCCTTGTATCAGAAATTCTTGAACCGTTTTCACTCTGCATACCTTTTGATAGGAAACGCACTACGCCTAGGGCTCAGTCTTCGCCTACATTGCTGCCCAGGCGGCGAGAGCGTCAGACCTGTCGATCGCGAACACCGCATTCGTCTCTGGTGGACCATCTACATTATGGACAGGTTTTGGGGATTAAAATGCGGATTACCTGTCCAGGTCAACGACAGCGACATCCAAGTCGACTTGCCTGCAGACCTGTTGGACGACAGCGAGCGAGAGCAGCTTCCTGATCCAGCTCTGCAAATTGCCAGCATTTCCGTTGCGCGTCTCGCCGGAAACATATCACAAGAGCTTTACGGTCCGAGAAAGCCAGAGGGCTGCTTTCTACAGCATGAGCAGAGCCTGCTCGCTCAGTCGCACCGGTGGCTCGAGTCTCTGCCGGACAGTTTGAAATTGAAGTCCGCGGGTGACAATTCGATAGATGTTACCGTGCTGCATCTTCAGTTCCACTATGTACGTGCATATAAGCTTGAAACGGCAGCAAAACCCAACTTAACCATACTTATCACAGTGCGTGATTCTTGCGATTCGCCCCGCCTTGCTTCATGCCCTGCCACGCAAAGCGGACAGCACACCGGATAGTGCTGTTGATACGATGTCTGCAGATATGGCTGCAATTTTAGAGACATGCGGCCACACTGCCAAGCATTCGATTTCCCTATGCATATATGCATGGACAAAGGGATTTATTGGGATGCTAACTTACGATTTTCCTGCCTTTCTCTTCTCCGCCGTCCTTGCGCTTCTTGTAACTGGACACATACAAGGAGCCAAGATCGGGGATATACCAGAGGTTGAGACAGCCAGAGAAATTCTGCGAACTCTTGAGACTTCAGGTAACATTGCTTCAAAGGCGTTTAACCTACATTTACAGTCGGTCCTAAAGAGCTTCGAGAATCATGGTCGTACGGCTGCCGCGGCAGACAAAGTCCCCCGTTCGGCCGTCGACAAAGTCTCCTCACAGTCTGGTATACAATCATTAGCTCCCGAGTTTAACATGGCTGTTGAATCATTTTCCTGGCTCTTGAGCGCCGAGATGATGACGACGGAGATGGCGTTTGACCAGACCAACATGCAACAGTTTCTCGCCAACGACGAACTGGCCGTCGCTCCACAAGACAAGATTGATCTTTTCAACGATCCAATGTCTCTTTTCTGGTGGTTAGACCAACCCTTATATACAGAATGAGTCAACATAACGGCAAACCACATTCTCGCTTTCCGCACTGAGCCAATTTCAGCGAGCCTCGCTGTCATGACCTTGATTGCCCTCAAGTACAATGCTCAAAACCCTGCAAAGTGCTGCAGATAGTCATGAGTAAACTTGTCGCCTGCTCGTGGTTTAGCTTCATGATTTTGGCGTCGCAAAGGTGCTGACATGGAAAGAAGGTAACCTAGACTCCCCAAAAGGTCAGAAAAAATGCCGACGTTGAACAGTAAAAGGCACCGGACAAAAAAACATCAACCCACAGCCCCAGCCCCATGCAGACTCCCTTGGCTGATGAACAAGCTGCCGGTTTTCCGTACACAAGGATGAGGCAAAAATTCCGACACACCAAGTCAGAATCGCGCCAGCCGTCCAAGTGAGCCTGAAGAAGGAACCCTGCATCAGCTGCGCGCGCCAGACACAGTGCCAACGAGACAATTTGCAAGGTCTGACAGGTGGACAGAAATATTGACACCCCATCAAATGACGCAATTCCTAGGTTGTGTTGTTCTAGATTCTTCAGAAACATTTCAACGTTGTCAAGGCTTCTGTTGCAGCCGCACACCAACTCGTTGAGTCGCTCTTTGACCTGCTGCTGAATCTGGAGAGCGGACACGTCGACTTATGAAGAAAATGCCGACCTAAAGCCCAGGCAGGGTATGAATGGCTGAATGCACTGGGTTATCCTTGTAGAAGAGCATACATTGATGCCAAACTAAATCGTCCCCGATTTATGGATGCCTGTTTGTTATCTTGTTCCACGCGCGCTGGAGTCTACCCTGTCGTCCTAAAGATCGCACTGATGCAATTGCCTGCGATAGCCGCACATATTTTTGACTCTCACGCCCAAAAGCAGCCTCGATGCCATTCTGGGCCCTTTGGTAATACCATATAGCATCAGCTACTTGGCCAAGCTCTACATATAAATCGCCAAAATTCTCAAGTGCGTCCAACGTGGGGTTATGCGTGGTAACCGAGATTGGTCCTAAAGTCTTCTCATACCCTTCCAGAGCGCGCTTATACATAGCGCCTGCCTCTTGGAGCCGGCCTTGGACTCTATAGAGGGCACCCAGGTTGTTGACTGCGCGGAGCGTCGATGTGTGGTTAGGGCCCCGCGCCTTCTCGTAGCCGTCCAACGCTCGCTCACATATGGCCTCGGCTTCTTGAAGCCGGCCTTGAACTCTATAGAGGACGCCTAGATTATTAACTGTGCGGAGCGCTAATGTGTGGTTAGGGCCCCACGCCTTCTCGTAGCCGTCTAGCGCTCGCTTATATATGACCTTAGCTTCTTAAAGTCGTCCTTAGTCTGAGTAGAGACTGCCTAGGTTGTTGACTGTGTTAAGCGTTGATGTGTGGTTAGGGCCCCGCGCCTTCTCGTAGCCGTCTAGCGCTCGCTTATATGTAGTCTCGGCCTCTTAAAGCCGGCCTTGAGCTCTATAGAGGACACCTAGATTATTGACTGTGCTGAGCGTCGATATGTGGTTCGGGCCTTACGCTTTCTCTTTGCCATCTAGTGCTCGCTTATACATTGCCTCGGCCTCTCGAAGCCGTCCTTAGTCCACGTAGAGGGTGCCTAGGTTGTTTACTGTACGGAGCGCTAATGTGTGGTTAGGGCCTAACGCCTTCTCGTAAACATCTAGCGCTCGCTTATACATGGCCTCAGCCTCTCGAAGACGGTCTTGGTTTGTGTATAGGATGCCTAGGTTGTTGATTGTGCGGAGCGTTAATGTGTGCTTAGGGTCCCACGCGTCGCAACCATCTAGCGCTCGCTTATACGTGGTCTCGGCCTCCCGAAGCCGGCCTTGGTCCGAGTAGAGGGTGCCTAGCCTATGGAAAGCCCACGGGGTCCCATCTGCGACTTCCATGTTGATCGTATATTCCAACAATCTGTCCGCATGCCCTATAAGTCGCTGTTGTGTGACCCAAAACTTGCTTGTTTCTTGTGTAGGTATGTGGGATGCTATGCATCTCATTGCGGTCAGGGCTAATTCTTCATCGTGTTCCTGATTCAGCACATGTATCATCCACGAATGGACGCACGCATGAACGCTGTATCCAGCCGATTCTGGCTCCTGAGTGGTCGATCCAGCCTCAACAAGTCCATGATCGCACAATATCCTCATGATTCCATGAAATCTCAGCTTACTGTCTGTTAGCTCACAGAGCCAGCCTGGCCCATGCGGTCGACCTTCCTTTAATAATTCGTACCACAAGTCCTCGTTGCTAAAATAGGCCCATTGCCGGAGAACCATTGCTGCCACCGGGGTTTGCTGCTTGATGCGACTATACGAAATACCCCATGTCGAGTACAACCTTTGGTCATAGGACAGTAGTTGAGGTGTCTCTTCATGCAGCTGCAGCCATGAGTCATGGTACATTTGAAGATACTCAGCGCAGCTTATAGTTACTTGATGTAAGTATGCTCCAGCTGTCGCAATTGCGAGAGGAAGTCCGTCGAGACACTGTGCAAGTTTGCTAGCGGCTGAATCTACTTAGGCTTAGCAGCTGATGGGCAATTATTCTGTGGAATTTCTTACCTTCCTTAAAGTTCTTGCGGCCTGAAGTCTGCGCTAAAATCTCCAGGCTATCATTCGCGTCTCTCAGCTTGCCGATTTTCATCGAGGGCCCGAAATTAACCGCCGATGATCGCGTAGTCACAATGATGGAACCATGGTTGGCCGTAGGAAAATAGGGGCGAATGTCAAAGGCCTTCAAATCAAAACCATCGTCGTGGCCTTGAAACTTTGGCTTTGGGTCAGTTCGATGATTATGTGAGGGCCGTCCGATTATGGCACCGTTATCCAAAAGAGGGTCATCGTAATTGTCGTAAGTGACTATCCAGCGATTGTTCATCGGCTCCTCCAGCCATCGTTTGGCCGCTGTCCAGATTTCATCTAGATCTCGGCTCTCTAAAGCAGCTGAAAGGTAGGACAAAGATGGGTCCAGGCGCTGAATCATCTCCGCTGCTCTAGCAAAGCTCTGCTTCAGTGCCATTTCATCTCTTGCGTTAAGCCATATTGCGACAGGATACTCGCTGAAATGTCGCTTCATGTACGCCATCGCGAGCTGCGTCTTACCCATACCGCCCAGCCCGTATAGGATGACAGTAAGACGTCCAGCCGGTCCTCTAAGGAGCATGTGCATTTGTTTGAGCTCATCTTGCCTTGCAACGAAACAGGGTACTGCGGATATCTCATTCAAATCGAACGAGAGCTCAAAAGAGTGAGGCGTCGGATCGAAACTCCTACAATGTAATCGATGAGTTATAAGCATCTCGTTGAATTCCATCGCCTCTAGATGTACACTTAATTCGCTGCTTCTTTGATAGACATATGGAAGAACAATTGTCTTGCATAAGCAGCCGCTACTGCCGCAGCGTATCCATGCCACACGTCATTCTTGTGGGAGTCGCAGTAGTCCGAGATGCCTCGGATAATCATGCACGGGAAATCGGTGCTGGCTCCTGCTGCCTCCATCTCAAAGCATAGCACCCCAAGCTTCCGAGCGAGGTTGTCCCTCTTCATGGCATCCTTTATTACGAGCTCTCCCGACGCTACTGTTCCTCTGTGCACGGTGACAAAGGTCTCATGAAACTCGTTTATCGGTCGTTCGATGCGCTGCTTCGGGTCGCACCCACCATCCTCACATGATGCGTCTGCTCGCCGATGCTCGTAATGGGGTTGGTAAAGACAATCGTTCGCGACCCCAGGAAATTTGAAGCGACGAAGATGTGGACGGCTGGTGTCGATTCTCTGCGTGTTCTTCCAAATAGGGTCATGATCTAGTCGTTGACGCCGTACCGACACCTCCCGAGCAGCATTCAGGAGGGCTGTTGGCGGAGGGTTAAGAGACCCTTTGAGTTCAAACTGCCCCGCTGTCGCCTTTCCGTGATCATATTGCACTGCTCCAGAGTGTATACCTGTCGGCTCGCTAACCACCACGTGCCCGAGACGGATCATCCCTTGATCGGTCTTCACCGGCACGCCGCCGCCAATCCCAACCAAGAGTCCGTGTTTTAGGTTTGGGAATGTCATCTTCATCTGCGTGATAACGGCGGCAGCAGGACAATTTCCCGCCTTAGGGAGACCGGCGATAACGACATTGTGATTGTTGATGGTGCCGAGATTGTAGATATTGGTGTCGCTGCGTGGTTGTGGCAGAGTCTCGTGCTCCTCATCTAGCATCTCCATCGCGGCGATTTGTTCCACCTCCAACGGACAGATCCATGCCACCTCGTAGTCGTCGCGATTCAATCTTTTTAGTGGCATTCTCGTTATCACACGGGATTGCACAATTTTCCGTGATAAGTCGTGCTAGAACTGGCCGCTGGTGAGGTGGTTTGCCTGGCCGGGGTGCGGGGTGAGGCTGTTGCCTGGCTGCTTGTATTATAACCTGCCATAGACGAGCTGCGTCTCCCTGTGCCAGCCGCCCGCCTGCCGAATTCAGAGAAACTTTCACACATGTCGGAAAGACACTAAACCTGGGCTTCTCCTGTAGCATAGCGACCGAACAATCTTGATCATGGAATGATTCGTATCTTTTGACGTTAGCTTTTGACTACGACTTGCCAACGAAGCAATTATTGGCAGGAGAAAAAAAAGGCAGAGTTTTGCCGAAAATAGAAAGACGTCTTGAATCCGTATCCGCATAAAAAAGCAAAACGCCATCTCGAATGCTCCAATGTATAATCTCACTCTATAGCCCATGCCGCCGCTTTTATCTATCCAACCAAATAACAAGCTCTAGTCCTTATTGTCGTCAATTCCCTTGGCCGCTCTATATAATTTGCGGTGCGCTTCAAGAAAGACAAAAGTACAGATGGTGTGCCTAGTAATCGGTGTAAGCAAGGTTGAAACTGTGACAAGTCTGCGGGTGGATCTGGCACGTACGGTCCAAGTCTCAGAAAGCTGGGAACCCAGCCCTTGAATATCCAGCCCATGCCTTCGGTGCGTGAAATATCCTTAATGACTTGAAGGATGTCCTGTTTCTGTGAAGATGACATGACACGGGTCTTGATGACGTCGATGGGACTTGTGGCCGTCGCCGCAGCGAGACCCGCGAGAAAAGAGGCGGAAAAGTGCGTCGTCAAGTTGTCGCCCATGGGGGTGTATTCAATGAGCATGCCTTTGAAAGTGTCGTACGTGGCGAGCTGGCCGGCCGTCATGACGGCGGCGCGGCTGGCGTTGGGCAGCCAGCCGCGAAAGTAGCTCGACAGGCCCTCATCGCGAGCCATGCGGGCCATGCCGTCGAGGGCGTGCTTGTAGTTGCGGCGCTGGTCGGGGGGCAGCGCTGCGTCGTGCTGCATGCGCACGTTGATCACGTCGGCAAAGTTGCCAGCGATGCCGCCGAGGAAGCCCGCGGTGACGGCCATGGCCGTGAGGGCGGGAAAGGTGGCGGTGCGGCCGGAGCGGGTGTAACGCATCTTGAGCTCCTCGTAGACGCCGAAGCGCACCGTCGAGTACGTCAGCTGGCGCATGAGCGATGCGGATATGCCTGAGTAGAGGCCGATGATGCCGTCATTTTTTAGAATGTGAACAAAAGTGCCGCTCATGTTCTTGGGGGCGTTGCCATGTCGCGTTTGCAATCGGACCTGGGGCGCGAGCGCATGTTAGCTTTCAGCGGTCGCAAGACGGGTGCGACAATCGCGGTAGCAAAGCGAAGTGAATGGTGCTCGAAAGGACTATCGCAAACTCGTTACCTTGACTGTGTAAAGGTCCAGGCGTTAGCAAACAAAAACGTCATCAACGAGCGCAACGGCTTCACCGGCGCCGAGAGGAGAACACGTACCCAAGTCCAATGGATGAGTGACGCAGGCGGCCATGCTGCTGGCGCTGCCTCCGAACCAAAACGGATAGCGAATGGCGGGCGAGGCCGTCTTCTTCTGGCCCGTTGTCTGGGCGGACGGCTTCGAGGCCGATTCTTGTGCCGAGCTCATGATGACCAACGACGTTTTATCAAACGGCCAACGGCAAGGGGAAAAAACGAGAACAAGGCAAGGAAAAGAAACCAAAAATTACCGCGACATTCCGTTGGGGCGCAATTTTGTGGTGCCGTCGCAGTCTGGTTCAGACAAAATGTGCAACGTGGGAAAAAAAGGAAAAAAAAAAAACGAAGCAAAGCTGTCGAGGAGCAGCAAGGTTGACTGATAGGCAACGGGTGAGGGTCGTCTTGGCTCGGCACAGGGCCGCTGGCGCCGAGCTCGCCGGCCAGGTGCAGCAGCAAGGTTACAGTAGAGGGCGCGGCCCCACTGCTGGGGCATTGTCGTCATGACTTTGCAGCGCTCTTTTAGTGCAGGATGCGCTGGAAGTCGCGCTGGAAGTCGCCCATGGTGATGAGAAGTAGGTTTCGGATTCACGGGCCGCTGCGACTTCGGATCTTCCACACAACTGATATGGAGGGGTCTATCCCAATCTGTCTGCTTGTTGCGTTCTTACCCTTGAATTTGCCATGGACTGTTATTTGTGCGATGCCCGGCCTGCCCTCCGGTTGTCATCGGCGTCGTCTCCGGATGGCCAACTCCCAGTGTCTCCAACAGGCATTCAATGCGCTAACTAGGCGATCCGCAATAGAGCAGCTGGTAAGAATCGGCCATTGGCCAATCAGATTCACGCCGACTGCCTGAGTTTCCCTTGCAGGTGCAGTAACCCAAACTTTAGCTCGTAGCTCCAACCGCACCCACGATATCGCATCACGACATTTCCATTCCCATTGTGCAGCATGGTCTGTCGCGTGGGCGCCGCCCGTCTCTTCACACGGGCAGCCGTATCATCTAAACTACCATTATCCAGAGTAGCTCATCTACGACAGCCGCTGCTGCTTAGAACCTTCTCGTCATCTAGTACGCAAGTCTCGTCCTGGCCTGCATCTGCTCCTCTAACGAAGCTGGCCACATAGCTCATTTCCAATCCGGCGCTGCCACCAAGACGCCGTCCACCGTAACGATCCGCGGACACACATGCCAAGCAGACCCGGATTGGTTCAACATCCCCGACAATGTCCTCGATTCTGCTACGCGCCGTCTGCATCTTCAGAAAGACCACCCCGTCTGCATCACTCGCCAAATCATTCAGGCCAACTTTCCCACGCCCACTTTCAAATATCACAACGACTTTAGTCCCGTCGTGACGACGCGGCAAAACTTTGACTCGCTCGGCTTTCCTGCCGATCACCCCGGCCGCGCCCGCTCCGACACGTACTACATCAACGATACCACCCTCCTTCGCACCCACACGAGCGCTCACCAAGCCGAGACCTTTTCCGCCAACGAGAGCGACGGCTACCTCATCTCCGCCGACGTTTACCGCCGCGATGCCATTGACCGCAGCCACTACCCGGCCTTTCACCAGATGGAAGGAGCCCGCCACTGGGACCGTGACCGTGTGCCTGGCGGCGACGTGGCGGCCGCTGTCCTGCGCGACCTCGAGGCGCTGCCCAAGCACAACGTCGTCGTCGAGGACCCGAATCCGCCGTGGCATGCGGAGCGCAATCCCGTCCAAGAAGAGCATCATTCCAACGCTGAAGCCGAGGCCATTGGCGCGCACCTGAAGCGCTCGCTCGAGAACATGGTGGTGGATGTCTTTTCGCGAGCCAAGGCTGCTGCCAAGAGGGCAGACCCCAACTTTGTAGACGAGCCGCTCAAGATGAGATGGGTGGAAGCCTATTTTCCCTTTACCAGCCCCTCGTGGGAGCTCGAAGTCTACTACGCCGGAGACTGGCTAGAGGTCCTGGGTTGTGGTGTGGTCAAGCAGGATCTCTTCATCAACGCCGGTGTTTCGTCGCAGCTAGGCTGGGCCTTTGGCATTGGAATCGACCGCATTGCTATGCTACTATTCAAGGTTCCCGATATCCGGCTGTTTTGGTCGCGTGATGATCGATTTATTTCGCAATTCACGGGAGTCTCAGACAACCTAGACAAGTTGAAGCTGTTTACGCCCTTTTCCAAATACCCACCAAGCCCTCGCGACGTCTCATTCTGGCTCCGGTCCTCTTCCTCCTCGGCGGCCGGCGGAAACACCAAGAACGCCTTTCACGAAAACGACATCATGGAGCTCGTGCGCAACATTGCTGGTGATGTTGTCGAAGATGTACGGCTCATTGACGAGTTTACACATCCAAAAACGGGCAGGAAGAGCATGGCATACCGCATCGTGTACCGAAGTCTGGAGAGAACCCTGACAACGGAAGAGGCCAACAAGTATCATAACGACGTTAGAGAAGCCCTTGTCAATGAGCTCGGAGTAGAGCTACGGTGAATGCTCAGCTGCAACGCCGTTTTTCAGGAATGACACCGCCCGACGAGGGTCTTGTATAATACGAGGAATATAAACTGTATAATAGAGAGCGTATGAGGCGCTGATCGAAACAATGAAGTTTTATATCTACCTCGGGCAGGGCATTCGCATGACTCCTACTGCGATCAGCACTGCGAGCCACGTATTATCATGCTGTTTCCACGTTCACGACAGCAGAAGCTTGGCATCACCGCGCACCAAGACTATCCCGCCGATATATTACGCCATGGTCTGACAACGGGGCCAACTGAGCCGTGATGGGACTTATAAGTTCGATTTTAATCGCGCACGTTATATGAGCCACGCAGTGCAAGAGTAAGCTATCGAGCCAAGACGAAGTCATTCTGTGGTGGCTGTGCTTGTAAACGCGGGAGAGTGCAGCGCTACAACACTGCTTGCCTAATGGGGTAACTGTACAAACCCGTTTGACGGAAGGCGTAGCCGACATTAATAATTGTAAGTATGTAATAGCCATTTCTGCAGATTTCTGGTTTTCTCTCGACGCCTATCGATGAAAAGGTTTCGGCCAAGAGCTCTCAAGCCGCCGGTATTGGATATTGCTCTGGAGAACGGGCTGCCATCGCTACGCCAATGGATGTAGCAGGTCGATGCAGCACTTTGGCATGAAAGGCAAGCTGCAAAGAGGTTGATTTGCCTAATTATCTGCATTATAAGTGCTTTTATATCACGCAGGAGCATAAAGATCCACAACGGGGATATATGGTGGCGCGGGTTCGCACGAAAAGGCCATTCCACTCAAGGAGCGCCTCAAGCATTGCGCAAGGAAGACGCGAATACGTATGATGCGGCATGTCAAAAGCTTGGTCTGAGTAAGCATGTTATGCATTCAATGTCGTTGGAGCAGGGTCATTCGGAGACGAGCTGGTGTTTTCTGAACATGCTTCGTAACATTATAGGTCTCTGTGTAGTTTCAAGTCGTCGCAGCGTGTACTTTAAATAGTGCGAGGCGATTGTCTTCTTGGTTTCGAACCGAATTAACTGGATATGGGCAAGGCAGCGATCATTTGGAATAAATCTCATTGGAGAAGCTGAATCTGCGTCATTGTCTTATGCGGGGAGAAACATGGCACACATGGCACACATGCCTAGGGCTCTTGTGTCGCACTATGTCGTAGATGATCTGGGAGGCCTTTGGGCCCTTGAACTTTGATTATTACGGATAAGCTTTGAACTAGATTGCTTGGTTGCTGGGGTAAGTCGATCGAGCCGCTGTCACTGCAACTCGGTGGGCCGGGCAGGCAGGCAGGTGAGGTCGTGAAGAAAAAGAAGGAGGCGCAGCTCGGATGGATCAAGTAACGTAACCAACCCAGACAAAAGTTGGCCGAGGGGAGGCAAGTGATGACAACTTGGCGGTGCCACGCGATTTATCCCAACACAGCCTCGCGACATGACCGTGTCTTGTGCTAAGTAAATAGTCACTTGAGCACCGCGCGCGCTTGGGGTACAATACAAAAACAAAGGGAGCGGCCCCCAGGTAACAAGTAGATGAATTAAGTAGCTTTTGTGACCAATACACAAGTAATCTGTACTCTGTATTGCGTAACTGCTTCAACGCCTCACAAGGTCATGGCGCCAACAACTCCGCTGTACAGGGGGGGGCCGCTCAGCGCCGCGGTGTAGGCTGTGTAGGTCAGACAGCCCGTCGGTAGAGCGACCGAACCCGCTTGTGAAAGGAAACAAGAGGCCACCAAGGTCAAAAGGGAGGGGCTTAAAAAATTGACTTCTTAATTTGCCATTGTTTGAAAAGTTTGACTAATAATTTTGGGGTCTGCTTTTCATCTTTTGCATTCTTGCACAGCCCATCTGCTGGCGTACCCGTGTGTGCCGTGCTGCTACTGCAACCGCTGATGCAAGTCAACCCCCCCTCCTCGAGATATGTAAGGGCGCCAAGCTTGATGGGGAAGCTGATGAGTTTTGGCTTTGCTGCCACTGGACGAGAGCATCTGATGCGCGGGGTGGCCGCTTTAGGCTGGCACTTCAAGCTTCTTTTGGGTGGGGGGGGGGGGGGGGGGGGGTTGGCGAGTTATGCATGCTTGTGTTGTGCACGTCGAAATGTGGCATCTCTTTGGCACTTTCAAGGCTTCACAAAGGCTATACGCAGGATTCTGGTGATTAATAAGGCTTTCTTGGCAGCATGACTGAATCCTGATACTGAGTACAAAGTACTGCGAGAATCTGCTAGTCAGTACCGATCCCCTACAGCAATACAAAGATGATTCAGTTTTGGAGTAATGTCCTTGACTGCCACGATCATGGTAGTCAGTGAGTAGAATGCTTTTGCGAAGCCTGGAAGTAACCAAAATATTTTCTTTCTGTGCTAAAACGGGTTGTCGGCATTATCGGCCAAGATTGGTTGTTGATGAGAGAGATCAGTTACCGCGTCGGCTGATCAATATACGTACGATGAGAGTGCATCTTGGGCGACTCATTCTCTTTCAGGCATGCCGGTGAAGAAGAATAGAGTCGAGCATACTCGGGGTTGGAACAGCAAGTTACTGATGTCATTTAGAGCAAAGAGCAAAATTGACCTTCTATTAACCTCTAGCAACATTTCTATTAGAACTGCTATGTAACGCCAAGACCTACAGCACAAGTAAGAACCAAAGTGCTGCGGCTGCTGTTGAGCCAATCGAAGACTTCGTAGCAGAGCCTGCTGCCTCAGCCGCAACACTCTCAACTATTTACTTAACGACGACGCGCCGGAACCACTCTGTCCATGGCAGCTCTGCACTTGGCGCAGATGTCCCGGGTGTACTTAAAGTCCATCTGCAGAGGCTTGCACTGCACGTTTTTTCCGCGCGATTGAGGGCAATTCCTGGGATTTCGGGGCACAATTTCAACATTGGTCTTGTGTCCGCAGAGACCGATGCTGTGGATTTGTTTGCACATGGCTGAGGTCGGGATGCTGGAGCGATGCGTAAACGGGCGTTGAAAGCTGAAAAGTGCTCTTTCTAGAAGAGATGCTGGAGGTGTTGAGATAATGCAGATATTCATTTAAAGAGACTATTGGGGGCAGCTTTCTCTCTTTATAGTCGGCATCTCGTGGCCCAAGATATGCCGCGAGAGCATCAACCGCTCGGGTTCCTGCGACTTGTTAGCAAGTTGTACGGCACTTGTGGAATGTTGGACGCGGAAAACAATGGCAAACTATACTGCAGACTATCTCAACCTCTGGCGACGTTCATCACAGACGAGGCTCGGGACGCGAACCCACGGGTGTTCCCAGTCTGGGTATCAGGAGAGCAGAGCATCACCGTAGGACATGATCAGAACACCAGCCCCCTGTGAGGACTCCCGTTGCCTTGTTGAAGGGTGCGCAGAGGAGAGACTCTATTGTTGGAAATTCAATCTCGGATGCAATGAATCACTCTGTGTGCAGAGCGCCTATACTTATTAGTAGGTATCTTGTTTGGATGGAGAGCAGACACAGTCCTCTGCTACACTAAAGGGGTTTTTTTCTTTGCACGGGAAATCTGCATCTTGCAGTGATCCTGGATAGTAGGTATAGTGACCTAGGCGTACACATGGGCGCTCTTCGCATACAGAAAGGATGACGCAGCCTCACTTATACATGAGAATGTTGGAATATTACACCGCAGGCATGGCGGCCCGGGTTCCTTGCATAAATTGCACAAGCCTGCAATCTGCCTACTTGGGATGCCCGGGCTACTTATTAGCCTGCAAGCCTGCCCGCTTGCCTACGCCACAGCGCAGCCTCTGGGCTCGGCTTGGCACATTTTTTTTCGCAGTGGATTCTGGGGCTCAGCTAGAGCGGCGCAGGCGCTAAGCCGACTCGGGACGACTGCCACAGCCCACGGCCGCCACCACGTCTATTTACCCCCCCCCCCCAGTCGACTTCGCCTCTCTCCCGCACTTCGATACATATATCCCACCTGGGCAAACTCTTCCCATCCGTTTGTGATCTTCATCTCTGCACTCTCATTCTGTCTCTTCGCCTGTTCCAACTCACAACCCCTTTGTTCAAGTGTTTGCGCCGTTGAAACCTGTTGCGTCGTCACTCAGCCGCACACAACCTCCCGAACTTGTTTGTTCCTCAAGCACCTGTTCTTGTGCTTCCTCCCCACCTCCCGCAACCCACACACAGACACTACTCGATGGAACTGTCACCGAAGCCCAGCCGGTCCTCCTCGACATCATCACGCCGCGGCGTCAACCTGACACTGGACTTGTCCAACCTGCCACCGCTTGAGCAGCCGACGCCGCCCTCCAACACGCTTCTCTTTACCAATCTCGACAATGTCGACATCTTCCGCGCCGACAAGCTGCAGTCGCTGCGGGAGCTGATTCAACGCACCGCCGCCATCCACGCCTTTGCGCCGCTCAAGTCGTTTCGTCGTATTCTCATCTCCTTTTACGACGTCGAGTCGGCCATCAGCATCCGCAAGATCTGGGACGGCGAGGCCATCATGGGCTCCCGCGTCCGCATCTACTTTGGCCACCCCACCCCGCTCCAACCCCGCGCCGACCACCACCTCGCCCTGCCCGACGCCGGCAAGCTCTTCTTCATCTCTCCGCCCCCGAGCCCCCCGCACGGCTGGGAGGTGCGTCTCGAGGACGCGCCCAACAAGATGGTCCACGCCGACGACTTGGCCGAGGCCCTCGCTAAACTCGGCCGTGGTGCTTGCAACAACACCCCCGGCAGCTCCTTTGACTCGCCCATCACTCCGGTCGACGGCGCCGCCGTTGGTCGCACCACTCGAAGTCGCAGCTCGACACTCATATACCGTCCCGACGACAACGGCAGCAGCCCGGGCTTGCCCGCCGTCTTTGTCGAAGATATGACGGACGAACCCGAGGAGATGTCGCCTCTGGAAGCCAAGCCCATCTTGGCGCACACCTCCCGACCACCCGTGGAACTCATGCACGATGCTTGAGCGCGGGTTTCTTTTCACTCCTGTACCTTTTGCTTGGTCTTTACTACAAATACAATTAATGGAGCGAGGTTTACAAGAATATCTGATTACTGGCGTTTGGGATTGGCTGGGATTGGTTTAGGCGTTTGACAGGCTTCTAGTGTATAAATCGCCTCAATAGCGTACATAGGGGTGAAAATAATCTAAGTGTTTCTTCAACCTGCTTCATCTGGTCATCAATCAGGCTTACCTATTGGTATCCAGCTAGGGTGACCTTGTGATGACTCCACGTTGACGTGTTTGTTTCGCCAACTGGGCTGTGCCAGCTGGCGCGCCTCTTTTGCCACGACTGAGAACTTTTCATGGCCTACCTAGGCATCTAGGTGAACAGATGCCAATACATCAAAGGGATTGATTGTTTGTTTTTAAGAATCGCTCGCAATTTTAGTCAAATCGGTTCATACGGTGTACAAGTCAGGCGTGCAGTGATAAGCTAGCAGCAAGTTGGTCAAGAAGCCAGGCGCCTTTCTAACTAATGTGAGTGAGACAAAAGAGGCAAACCACGAGATAAACATACAAATATGCTCATATTCTAACATCTCATTCATACACTGAATGAGACGAATAATGAGCCTTGTGATGTCGATAGCCTCTTCATCATATGTATTCAATACAGTGGGCCGCTTCTGTGTGAACCTGGTCAAAAGATGGGGCCAAAAAAATACAGTCGCAAAATCGGCCCCATCAGGAGCTTCAACAATCTCCCCTTCGCCATCACACGACACACAAGACCAGTCTGTCCACCGCAGCCATGAGCTGTTCATGCAATGCCTCTGCTCCGAGGCTTTTTGCGCGTGGACTAGCGCAGGTGCATCGCCCGGAGCGTGGCATGTCCTTTGCCCTACCCGCTCGAAGCGCCGCCGGTGCCCGCTTCGCCGGCGCCTTGGCCTCGCAGCATCGCTCCCTACACGCATCGCGTGCGCTAAGAAATGCCGAAGATTCTACGCTGGTCAAATCGATACCAGAGGAGCAGCCAGCGTCTACGGAAGCCTCCGAGTCTCCCGAATCTCGCACGCCGCCAGAGCCGGACCGCAACACATATCCGAGAACACACGAGGAGGTCATGACGGAGGCTAGAGCGAAAGCTGCCTGGCGTTTCAAGCAACAAGGCTTCGACTGGAAGGCTTTCAGGTCCAAGGACCCCGCTGTTCGTGCCACGGCCGACTTTTCGAACTTTGATTGGGAAAACTGGCAAGGCAACAAGCACGCCGGCAGGGGTCTCCACAAGCTTGTCGACAGTCTGGAAGCGGCTCGCGCCGCGGGTCGTGCTGCTATCGGACTATCAGACGACGATGGCTACGGTAGTCGATCATACGACCACAGGAAACGCCAGGCTGAGTGGAGAAAGATGAACGCAGAGGCAATGGAGCAACACAATCAAACTCTCGAGGCCGAGGCGGCCACGTCGCCCAAGAGGGAGCAGCGACGGACTCACGAGGATGATGTGACCCCGTTCAACAGGGAGCAATGGCAGATTCAAAAGAACGAAGTGACCCGGCCGCCCAAGAGGGAGCCCTGGCAGATTCAAAAGGAGGCGTTAAAGGCCAAGTTCCCCGAGGGCTGGAGGCCGCACAAGCGGCTCTCGCCCGACGCGCTGGCGGGCATCCGCGCGCTCAACGCGCAGTTCCCAGACGTGTATACGACACGGACGCTAGCGGAGAAGTTTGCCATGTCGCCCGAGGCGATACGGCGCATCCTCAAGAGCAAGTGGACACCGACGGCGGACGAAGATGAGGATCGCCAGGCGCGCTGGCATCGCCGCGGCATGAAGGTCTGGGAGCACAAGGCCGAGCTCGGCATCAAGCCGCCCAAGCGCTGGCGCGACGAGGGCATCGCGCGCGACCCCGAAATTCACGCGCAAAAGCAAGCTCAGCGCATCGAGCGCCAGGAGCGGCCCCACAAGGAGCGCGACGAGTACATGCGCAGCTTTGCAGAGATTGCAGAGGTTAAGAGACTGGAGGCGGCGGGGGTGAAGATGGACGAGGACGAGGGAGAGGCGTCGAACGGGGGGCACGGGCGCCGACGGGAAAAAACACCGCACTGGATGGGCCGCGGAAGCAAGAAGGGCAAAAAGGATCTTGATCAGGCTCTTCGCTCCGGGCGCCGCAAATGAACTTGGTCAAGCAAGTCTCTGGGGCCATGAAGCGGCCGATGACGGCGTGAATCTTGTTGTATAACAGCATCACATGTATAATACGGTATTACCTACGGAATATGGCAGCAATAGAGTAACACAAAGCTCAACTTTCTTTTCCTCGCAGCTCAATCTGGCAAAAATGTAGATGATACCCACGCGAAGACTCCAATGTCGTCAACAGGTAATCATGGCTTTCCCTACCCCTTAAATCGGATTGTTCACTTCACTGCAAGCAGCACAGCAGCCTTGTCACGATGCTTCTCTGCGCGAGAGAATATCGTTCAAGCAGATGCAGGGGCTGAGAGTCGAAACATGGGGTATATCAAGTATTTGCCCGGTGGCGGGTGCTCAGCAGTGATGCCATAACCTCGGCGCACTTGGGCATCACGCATCACCTGCGCAATTCTACGCATTTAGAGTCTGCGAATCGTGTAAATATTACCGGTTACTTTGTAGCTGCTCTTCGCTTCACCAGTGTCATCATATACACAGAGAATGATTTATGAAGTACAACCAAATGTCAAGCCAGTCTACGTGCTCACCCAGTCCCAAGGCTCTAAATGTTGAGTTTGCTGAATTGATACTATAAAGATTGCAGAAATTGCTTAGCCTCCCAAGGGTACCTATGAAGAGAACGAATAGCCACCTTCGGATAACGCATGCCACTAGGAAATGATATCACCGATTGCACCATGTCCCACGTTTGCCATTGCCGTTTCACCTCACATCGACTTGTCGTCTCGACCCGTTTGACCCTGTTCCTCCCCCCCCCCCCCCCCCCTCCAACTCTCCCATCTCCAGTTGCATCTTCTTCTAGCGCA